AACCCCAGGACCTAGCCGATTTTGTAGGTTTTCTATTTATGTCAATGTAACATAATTGGAACCCCAAATCCATGCAACCATACTTGGCATATTATAAATAATGTCTATATTAAATGAGAACATAATAGTTTTGGTCTTTTCAAAGCAAACTTCAATTTTTGGTATGAGTATTACAGCTTTATACATTTTTATATTATTTTACTGGAGTTAAGATACCGAACAAAAGATATTTCTTCTGCTATTTAAAATATATGTCTGTAAATTTAAAGAGCAAATGAAATCAGTAGTCAACAATAGGATAATTGAGCTCACAACAATGTACCCCCTGGCGGCCGTCTACTTTACACTGTTACGCTGAATCGTCAGCTAAAATGTGAAGGGAATAAAACAATCTTTCCTAAAACAGTTGCAGATAATGTAACTGGTATTTATGTACTGGCGCCATTAATTAAAAAATAATATATTTAATGCAATCCAGAAATTTACAAAAATGGAAGACACAGATTGTTCGTTAGCTTTCCTGTTGTTTTCTACCGCGAAATTAACACATATGAGCCGCGTCACGACAAAACCAACATAGTGCGTTTGCGACCAGCATGGATCCAGACCAGCCTGCGCATCTGCGCAGTCTGATCAGGATCCATGTTGTTCGCTATCGGTTTCTAGCTACTTGTCATAGGGTTTGTAAGCGAACAGCATGGATCCTGATCAGACTGCGCGGCTGCGCAGGCTGGTCTGGATCCATGCTGGTCGCAAACGCATTACATTGGTTTTGTCATGACGCGGCTCATATTTTGGTCATATCTCAGAAAATCGATTCCCTGCACAACTAGGTAATTAACAATTTCTCCGCAAGTGACATACTACTAATCCAGTATGATTTCTGAACCAGGTGTGGGAGACAAAAATGACTATTAGATTCATTGTCCGAGATCAGTTGTCACGGAGAAATAACGCCTTGTCCAATTTATTGTAAGCAATGGTATTGCAGGGTTTTAACAAGAAACATGACAATGCATTGAAACAAGGTTTTCAACAAGACCAAAAGCAAAAGCAATTTCATTCCAAGTTTGATCACAATATCTTATTTCTAACTCTAGTTATCGACCGGAAAACACATGTTTGACGCCCGCGTAAACGCCCGCCATAACCAGGATTTTCAAAATTGAAAACATAATTAGACAAGCAAATAATTTGTCTAATAGTCATTTGTCTCCCACCGAAAATAGCTTAAAGTTATGTTGAAAACAAGACATACAATTTACATCAAACAGAAATTGTCCTACAAATGATTTTACATTGATGAGCATAACCATGCAAGTTCTCCTTCCTCAATGCAACGAGTTTTAACCTCAAGCTAAAATTGTTTTATCTAATCGGATTTATCATTCTGAGAAATGTAGACGACAATATACTCAGGCACCTTATTACGATGAGACAAGAAAGACATTGAAGAACACTATTGTGTATAAAAAGTGCAACAGTTTTTTATTTAAGTTGCCATTACTTTGACGATTCTTCAAATTCTGTTAAAGACTTGGTCTCATTTAAATCATCAACTTGGATACAAGTTTGACAAGGATCGAAATACAAGAATCTAGTTAATTGTTGTTCATTATATTATATCCAAATATCCAGGTCAATGCTGGTGGCCAACTGTACAACTTTTTTTCTAAATTAATGTCTTCAAAGAATTGAAAAACCATATTTAATCGTGTAATATTAATTACGAATGCTTTATCTATTAGAACAAATCATTCATAAATTCAATTCGTGATAATTAGTACATTTCTTTGTTATTAGTATTTATTTATATCATTGTGTTGTCTTTGATATATTGATAAACAAGTACATGTATTATAAATTGTCAAACCCAATTTTTCCGCTGAATGCAAATTCACTTTTAATTTGAAACTTGAAATTTGTTTCAAAGATAATTTACACTGTAATTTGATTTCATGATCATGTTTACATAAATGTTTTTGTTTTGTTTTTTGTCTTTTTGTTTTTCAATTTGGTTACCCCTATGACTAAGAAGACTTAATTTAATAACTCATTTGAAAAACAATATGTACTCTATTAAAGTAGGTTATTAACCCATAAACTGCTAGAACCGCAAATGACCAGTTTTTGCAGTATATCCCTGAAGTCTGACTCCATACTGTTGGAAACTCAATTTGTTCATTTAAATATTGCAACCAAGGACGGAAGAGAAAATCCTTCACACAAACTCAGCCAGATAAGAGTAAAGTTAACTAGGCAATGCCGACTGGTCGGTGACAAAGGTCTTTTAATATCAGAAACAGTACACCAAGTTACATCTTTACACTTCAGCTACACATGTGCAAATTTTCAGCATTGCTCTTGAATTTTGTGGATGCAAAAACTGTATGTTCCTCAAGAAATATAAATGATAACGAATGTGTCGCCTATTGAGCTCAATTTAACAAAGTATCAATAATATCCGACTATCTAATTGCTGGAAACTCAATGACTTGATATTTGCAAAATTTCGCGATATATTAAATGAATCAACTTCCGCATTACATGTCGAATCATAGGGAAAAAGTCAATTTAACGCGGAATAAATCTTAGATTTTCACATTGTAAAACAAATGTACTCATTATCACATTGTGTCGTTTTCCTGAGATACTGCGATTCCCTAAATACTGAAATTACTCTCAAGATGTCATTTTATTTACACACATCTTGCAATTCCGTAATGACAGGTAGCCACGCTTGCTAGATATGTAAAAAGGACTTGTCCACCCTTTAATCTGGACGTAACCAGTATCATTAAAATATGAGCTGACTGAACAGCAGAACGAATAAGAGCATACGTTATGTTCGCAAGGTTAGATTCAATCTCCACAAGCAGGCAAACGGTTACCAATACACATGTATATTCAAAACTGTTGTGTCAATTTTTTTGTATCCTTTCGCTATCTACTTAACTCTACAATTGAACATAATTCACATCGTAGTTTGCCTGTGGACCTATTGTCGTCTGCACAACATTGTCGTCTGCAAATTGCAGGTAATGTATTCAATAATCCAAATCCCTGATGAAAAGAAATAGAATATAATACGATGGTGAATAGGAACAAGTTCTGATTTGTGTCTATTTCAATTAAATTAATGTTTAAGCTAATTCAAATCTTATCAACTATGACATGATGAGTCACTTGTTTTTAAGCATTTTAATTCTTACTCAGCCCAAACTACAGTAATTTAGTTGATTTTGTAATTAGAATACTAACATAGAATATTTCATCGTCATATTCTTTACCTTCTAACTTCTTACCACGCTAAATATCTTTACTGGACTTGTCTAACTTTCACACGGGACAAAACCACTTATCAATTTTGAGAATAATCTTTAGAATATGTACTGAATATGTAAATAGCGATCAGTGCAGTTCGTGATCAGACGGTATGAATGCACCGGCTGATCTCAGTCATCGCAAGCAGACGATAGATTTATTAAAATGACTAGAGAGAGGCTTGTTCAATTCCAGAGATACAACCAGAGTGCATTTTTTCCAAATAAATGAATAAATAATATATGAAACCAATTAAGAATCAACTTCCGTCTGTAATATCAAATGACGTTTTGTTTGAGAGAGAAAAAAAAACAAAAACAAAAAACATAAGAAATCAAATGTAAAGTTAATTCAAATGCTATATTAATTTATGACGTCACATTACATGAGGTAATATAAATTTATGCAAATTGTCATTGTTACACTATAAAATAAAACACTCGTTATTATCATGAATGCCATTTTCTTTCATTCAAACTTCCCAGGTTACAACTTCAATTTATTCTCTATTACGATGCACACGCATTTGTTATACAGAACTTACAATATCTGCCAAACCGTTTTATTGTGGTTTTAATCAAGTTATCTTTCCATACAGCTGAAAATTCAACAAAATTTACTTTGACAATAGAAACGCGTCTGTGAACACTGTCGTCTGCGAACAATGTCATGCCCAGATAACATTCGAATTCTTTTTGAACAGAACATTATGATATGCCCTTACTAATTTTCTCAGTCTACAATAATGTAATTTTATATCTGATAAATTAATTTTATCACTTGCAATAAACTGGTAATACTTCAGTCTGACTCTATTGTTAAGAATTAAAATTTATCAAATATGAATCATGATAAAAAATCATTCTTTTTTTTCAATGATCCAAACTATAACATTTAAATAATCTTGTCTCGAATACAAAATGGGAAATGCACAAATCATTCAGACTTTTTTTTTAAAAGGTACTCGAGCTTTGAGTTGAAAACGGTATCTAAAATGGATATAATTTAATAGTTTTGGCTATATTACGTCTATTCATTTAATAAATACTAACAGGTCGATAAAAATTTCATAATCTCTATTTATTGTATTTTCAATCGAAAGCAAAATCGTTTAAATATCCAGTTTCTTCACAGCAGTTTTTCTATTGGTTGATTTTCATACAGTCTCTTACTTATTAAGCTTGTGTCATGCGCTATGGCGATGATTTGAATTTTACTTCCTTTATGAAACGCCTCTGAAGCCTCATTTTACCATTCACAAAATGTGCCTTATTAAATTGTTGGTACAAATAACGTAATGCAATAACGATTGGTGTACAAGACGATAGTCAATTTATCCATACTAGTGTAATGAAGCATCAATGGCGTTCCATACATCATTACATTATTAGCGTTACATACATCCTAACAATATTGGTTCCATAGATCATAACTGCTTTGGAATATGTCATGTGTTAAGGCGAAATCTTAAACATATTTGATTTTCTTACAGTTATTTTCAATTTTACAGTAAAATAAATCAATTTTTGTTGACAATAATATTGAAAGTTAAAGTTTTTTAAATTCCTCAGAGATGTGTCAGGTCCCATCAATGAAAACGATTTCATATAAATTTGCACCAAATGTGCACAAAGTAGTTATTTGAATACAATCAAAAGGTGAACAAAAACAAAAGGCTTTGATCATAAGTTGGTTGTTTATTTGAAAAAAATATCATTCATAACAACAATTTTCAATGTTCGTGATAATTTACATGTATAAGTGGCCTACAGAGCGTTTCGGTGTCATAATTCTGGGTCACTGTCAACCTCAAATTCTTTATCAAACTCTTCTTGTGAAATCTGCAATATAAAAAGAGAAACACGTTACATGTATTTTAAAATCTTAAATGCTTCAAATGAATTACGCTGTATATTCACTTTAAGCCAGACATAGAGTAATAACATTCACACTACTCCATGTTAATTGTGCAAATTGTGTGCAAGTTATCTTAGAAAAATCAAGGTAGGTGGTCCTATTATTTGGTCATTTTGATTATTTCAAAAACAATGTTTTAAAATAAAAGCACTGGTAATATCACAAATGATTTTAAGAAAAAGACCTATAGTGTTAAAGATGTGCTTTAAAGGCCCATTATGTCTCAAATATGTTTTTTTAATATCATTATAATTTTTCAAAAGCTTTTGATTGTTGGTGGCCTGTTAAAAGTTTCCAATCAGTAACTCATTAACCACAAAGTTAAGCATATTTTGCTTCTCTGTGCTTCGGCAATTAGTACATAGTGATTTAGTACTTTGAATGCAAGTCAAGACATTTAGCCTAACAAGATAAGCATTCTTGAAATCCATTGTCAAAACATTACTTAAGATATGAACATTTTTACATATTAATATCCGAGGCACAATTTGTCTTTAAGTAGGTGTGACTATTGGAAAGCCTGTACATTTTAATTTTCATACCACATACCTTATTATTCTTTAACTTTTTCACCATTCTAAAATCATCTTCTAAATCATCTATGTCTTCTTCGGTGAGCTCAATTTTTCTTTTCTCCTTTTTCCTTTCTTTTATCTCCTTTCTTTTCATTTTTCTTTCCTTATAGTCTTTTTTATCTGACCATGCCGCCGACTTTGGCGGTCTTGTCAATCTCTTCTTTCTTTCTTCACTTTCACTTTGTAATTTTATTTGTCTCTGTTTTTCCAAAGTCTTGTCACTAAAATATATGTAATATACCGCTGCTGTAAATTACAATAAACTGGTTCCATAAAAATGACTGCATTGCTCTTTTGTGCTTCACATAGGGCAATAGTTTTACCATTAAAGCTGCATGCCTCCACATGAGCAAAAAAAAGTTTTTTCAAGCAAAACATCAACTTTGTGAAAAATGAACTAGGATTTTAAGAAAAGTATAAAAATATTCGCAATTAAAGAAAAATATTCACAATTCAAGAAATGATTTACATGTTAAAGCCATGGATGGCTGATTATGCAGTATTTATTACAATATTTCTACTGCATGACTAATACAGTAAGTGCTATTTTTGCATATTTTGACATTTTACTTGTATTAAACATGTTGTTCCATTTGCCAAATGTTGTTCACTTCACAATATTTTATTTTTTAAATACATTTTCAAATTTGTCATGAAAATTAGCATGAACCTGAAGGTGTGCTGCTTTAAAGGGATACAAAAGTATCAAAATGAAATATATACTCAAATCACGCTTAAAATGACATTTTCTAAAGTCCCAGCATGAATTGATGTATAGATTCTATATATTTTGGATTTGAAGCGTAAATATATCTATTTATACATGTTATATTGAACGAAATCTAGACGCTGGGGCAAAAGGGCCAACAGAATACCAAGTAGTTTTAAAAAGTCATTTAAAAACTTGAAAAAAGTTTCGAATTACAAAAAAAAAAGAATTTTGGGTTTTAGTACGATTTAAACAAATCTAAGTCATTCCCTTTTACAATTTTTTTGTTTAAAGTTTCCGAGTTCACTGTGAAATTTTTGTGAAATCGTAAAACTCTAAACCCGACCCACGCGGCTAAGTTAAAGGGGAAAAAAACCCTTTTTTCTTTAAAGGAGGAAAAATTTTTTTTTTGAGGGTGCCTGTTTTATTTTTTTAGAGGGCCCTTTACATAATAATGAATGAAAAATTTAAAACGAAGAATTGAAAATTTTGCCTGTGTCTCTCTTTAAACAATAAAAGGCACTTGATTGAAAAACTGGCAAAATTTTGAAATTAATGCTAAAATTTACCTGTATGTAATATCATTTACATCTACAGGCAAAGGATAAAAATTCTCCAACTTGACGGCTTTCAACTCTGGCATTTTTGGAGCCTTTATTAGACCAAATCCTGTAGCTAGCCTTCCAAAGTCCAGTTTCTTCATTTGAAATATTAAGTAACACTCGTGTTTTGCATATGATTGTACAAAACTAACAAATGCCCTCATTCCCTTTTCATAAACAGCCCTGTCATTCACTGCCATAGTTTGAACTGAAATATTAGAGTTTTTTAATTAACTTACGAACAAAAATGAAACAGTAAAATTAACACTTTTACACAAAATTGTAAGTTACAAGAGGCGATGATTCTTTAAAATATAGAAACTTGAGATATGAACATTATCATATAACATATATGATTATAGAGATGATAAGAAACAACTCTCCTGAAAAAAAAATGTTTTGAAACAAAGATGGTTGAGGTAAAAAATATCATTTTCAAAATAAAATTTTTAATTCAAAGTGGGAATATATCAAATACAATATACCGGTACAATAATTTCTAATATATAACAGTCTTTAATCAATATTTTTACAAGACTTATATTCCTTTCTGCAAATTAAACAATTTTTATCGATTATTAATAAATGCATTTTTAACTTCACAAATTGAGAATAATTCAGCAATTATATCTTAAATTGGCTGCAATTAGAGGAAATTATATCTTGAAAATTGGAAACTGTCAAATATGATTAAGGACCTAAGATATACAACTGGAGTTTCTGTTAATATAAATTAGGTTAACAAGATATTAATTGATTTATTACAAGTTACCGCCTTATAATAATGGGACAACTCACTGTCAAGTAAAGAATCGTATTTATACAAAAGGCATCTGCACTTATGAGTTTAGCTTATCCATAGAATTAAAAGTGGCATGTAAAGCAATTTTAAACCAGTAAAGAAAAACTTAAAAGCTGCATACTTCCAGATAGCATACAATTTTTTTTTTCAATTTTTTTTTTTAAATCAAATTTCTGGAAAATGTACTAAAATTTTGTTAAAAAGAAAAAAAAGATTCAGGTTAACAAGAATTTGGTGGCCAGTGATGAAAAACTTTCAATTTTTTTAATAAAATCAATTGCATTGGTTTATTTTGAAGCAGCATGCCTCCAAATTCATGCCAATTTTCATGAAAATCTTGATGATGTTCTAAAAAGTAAAATACAAATGTATTGTGAAGTAAACAAAGGAAGTAATTACCACATTGCAAACAGCCCTTACAATTCGCATAAATCAACAAAAAGAGGTCAAAATATGCATAAACAAGAGCCCGGTTTGAACCGGGTTATGCTCCCCAAATAGGTTTTGGACACAGGAAAGTACACCTCTTGTAGTTTCAGAGTTATGTCCCTGGACAAAGTTCAAAGTGCAATAATTCCAAAATTAGATCTATCTACCTACAAAGTTTCATGTTGATATCTTTTATAATTTTAGAGTTATGTCCCGGACAAAGTTCAAAGTGTAAAAATAAACAAAGGGCAATAACACAAAAATTAGACAAGGCAGAGTTATGATTCTTGTGCACTGCACATCTACCCATTGAGATCTATCTACCTATAATGTTTCATGTTGATATTTCTTATTGTTTTACAGTTACGTACCGGACAAGATTTTACTATAAGGGGAGATAATTAAAAAACTGGGCATAATAGTCAGCAATTTTTTTCCTTAAATTGTGAATGAAACCGTGACAATGGTGGGAAAAAAAATCTAAATTGTGAATTTATTTCTTAAAAATTAAAATTTATATAGATTTACACGGAATTACCCTATTTCAGATATTTCACAAAGAATTTACCACTCTTTGAGGGCATTTTTCGTCTGTTACACTATAAATGGATGTTTACCTCGTATTTTATATCAGATTTGTTTGCAATGTACAACTTGAGCAGAACATGTTCTAGAAATTTGACCAGCTCGCTGAAAAATGTCTTTCATTTTTAGGTAACCATACCACTGAAAGACAAATCTAAATTCATTGAGCTTGAAAAATCTTTGTCCACAAACTTTAAATTATCAGAAATACTGCCGCAACATTCCCATTAATTCGGGTTTTATCTAATTAAAAGATCCTGGTTTAACATATATTTTTGCCGTTTCGGACGTTTCCTAAATACAACTGTAATAAAAAAGTATCTGCGAATCAAATTGGAAGCAATTCAACTTTCAGTTTGAATATCAGCAGTAAGATGATGTTTTGATTTAAAACAATACATCAACACAAAGACAAATTGAGATATCAATCACATATATCAAAGAAATTAGGAAAAAGACGAAATTGTAAGCTTAATCTATGTAGATAGTGAATTTTTTGCAAAAATCTGAATGGGTCCATTATTCGTACCTCACTTATATGAGGAAAAAAATCGCTGAGAGTTATGATTCTTTGACACTGCACTAAGTCTCAATGACCTCTACCACTGTGTGAAGTTTAAATAAATTATCTCCAAAGGTTTTCAAAGGTGCTCCAGACAAGACAACGGACCGTGCTCTCCCTTATGCGGAGCATAAACAAGAGCTGTCACAGGAGACAGCGAAGCTCGACTAATAAAATACTGGACGCAGTAAGGAGGACAAAACTATGAAAGAAAAATCAATTATGTATAATTATGTATTAAGTTATAGTAAAAAAATAATATTTGTTAACATAAATTCCAAGATCAAGGGGAATAATTCTAGAAATAGTCATGCTAGAGTTATGGACCTTGTCAAACAACATTTGTGTAATGATAAGAAATATATATTTGAAGTCTGAAGTAGATACCTTAAAAAGTAAAGAAGTTATTATGTTTTTTAAAGAAAATCCTAAGTTCAAAGAGAGATAAATGTGTAAATATTGCTTCAAGAGTTATGAACATTGTCACATAAAATGTAATTGATGATAAGGAATAAGTATTTGAAGTTTGAGGTAGATACCTTTAAAAATAAAAAAGTTATAATAAAAAATAACATTTTTCTAGTAAAAAAATCTAAGTTAATGGGGAGATAATTCTTGAAATATTGGTGCTAGAGTAAGAACCTTGTCACATAAGATGGGGATGATGATAACGTAAATATATTTGAAGTATGAGGTTGATCCCTTAAGAAATAAAGAAGAAACAGTAAGAAATAATACTTTTTGAGGAAAATTCTAAGTTCAAGGGGAGATAGATCTGAAAATATTGGTGCTAGAGTTATGAACCTTGTCACATAAGATAAGGATGATGATAAGGTACATATATTTGAAGTATGAGGTTGATCCCTTAAGAAATAAAGAAGTAACAGTAAACAAGAGGGCCATGATGGCCCTGAGGTCGCTCACCTGTACATAGCCCCCCCCCCCCCAGGTCAATTTTTACCCAAGGGCTTTTATTTTAACAGACTTGGTAGACACCCATAAGAAGATGTTTCATGCTAAACATCTAAGTTCTAGCTCATTGGGTTTTTTAAAAGAAGATTTTTAAGTTTTTACTATTCACATATAGTTAAAAACAATGACACCCCTGGGGCAGGGCCAGTTTTGACCCCCGGGCTTTTATTTGAACAAACTTTGTAGATATTTACTTAAAGATGTTTCATGTATAATATCTAAACTCAAGCTATTTGGGTTTTTTCAAAGAAGATTTTTAAGTTTTTGCTATACACATATAAGGAAAATCAATGACCCCCCGGGCAAGGCCAGTTTTGACCCCAGGGCTTTTATTTGAACATACATGGTAGACACCCATTAGAACATGTTTCATGCTAAATATCTTAGCTCTAGCTCTTTGAGTTCTTTTAAAGAAGATTTTTTAAGTTTTTACTATATGCATATAGGGAAAATCAATGACCCCCTGGGGCGGGGCCAATTTTGACCCCAGGGCTTTTATTTGAACAACTTTGGTAGACACTCATTAGAAGATGTTTCATGCTACATATCTTAGCTCTAGCTCTTTGGGTTCTTTAAAAGAAGATTTTTTAAGTTTTTACTATATGCATATAGGGAAAATCTATGACCCCCTGGGACGGGGCCAATTTTGACCCCAGGGCTTTTACTTGAACAAACTAGGTAGACATTCACTAGAAGATGTTTCATGCCAAATATCTAAGCTCTAGCTCTTACGGTTCTTTAAAAGAAGATTTTTTAAGTTTTTACTATATGCATATAGGGAAAATCAATGACCCCCCGGGGCGGGGCCAATTTTGACCCCAGGGCTTTTATTTGAACAAACTTGGTAGACACTCACTAGAAGATATTTCATGTCAATTATCTTAGCTCTAGCTCTTTGGGTTCTTTAAAAGAAGATTTTTTAAGTTTTTACTATATGCATATAGGGAAAATCTATGACCCCCTGGGGCAGGGCCAATTTTGACCTCAGGGCTTTTATTTGAACAAACTTGGTAGACACTCATTAGAAGATGTTTCATGCTAAATATCTTAGCTCTAGCTCTTTGGGTTCTTTAAAAGAAGATTTTTTAAGTTTTTTCTATATGCATATAGGGAAAATCAATGACCCCCTGGGGCGGGGCCAATTTTGACCCCAGGGCTTTTATTTGAACAAACTTGGTAGACATTCACTAGAAGATGTTTCATGCCAAATATCTTAGCTCTAGCTTTTACAGTTCTTTAAAAGAAGATTTATTAAGTTTTTACTATATGCATATAGGGAAAATCAATGACCCCCCGGGCCGGGGCCAATTTTGACCCCAGGGTTTTTATTTGAACAAAATTGGTAGACACTTACTAGAAGATGTTTCATGCCAAATATCTTAGCTCTAGCTCTTTGGGTTCTTTAAAAGAAGATTTTTAAGTTTTTACTATATGCATATAGGGAAAATCAATGACCCCCTGGGGCGGGGCCAATTTTGACCCTAGGGCTTTTATTTGAACAAACTTGGTAGACACTCATTAGAAGATGTTTCATGCCAAATATCTAAGCTCTAGCTCTTACGGTTCTTTAAAAGAAGATATTTAAAGATTTTTCTTTCGGTTGCCATGGCAACCAGAGTTCTGCATGAAATGGAATTCTTTGAACAATCTTGATAGAGCTTCATACAAAGAGTATTCCTGCCAAGTTTCATTAACATTGGCCTTGCGGTATCATAGAAGATGTCCTTAGAATATTTAAAATGTGGACGGACGACAGACGACGGACGCCATTTGGTTGGCCTTCCTAAAAGCTCACCTGCACTTTGTGCAAGGTGAGCTAAAAATAGTATTTTTTAAGGAAAATTCTAAGTTCAAGGGGAGATAAATCTGAAAATATTGGTGCTAGAGTTATGAACCTTGTCACATATGATGTGGTTGATGATAAGGAACATATATTTGAGGTTTGAAGTTGATACCTTAAGAAATGACAAAGTTATAGTGAAAAATATTTTACTGCACCAAAACTTTAATCTAAAATCTGGACGCGGACGCGGACGCCGGGGCGAGTAGGACAGCTCTCCATATACTTCGTATAGTCGAGCTAAAAAGTGCTTAATGTGTTAGTCATGCAACTAATTGCGTTAGTCACGCAGTAGAAATATGGTGATAAATAATGCAAAAACTGTCATTAATCCCACATAACACGTAAATTATTACTTGAATTTTGAATTCTGGAAGCATACGGTCCACTAGCAGTGCCCTCTTTAATACTTGGTGCTTGATAGTAAAATGTGAGTTTTAATAATGTAGGAATTATTAAAGGGAAAAAAATCAATGACTGAGTTATCAACTTTGGTTATTGACAAAAAATTAGGATTTTACAAATTTTGTGTGAAGTTTTAAGTGAATTCTTTCAAATGTTGTGGAGACTGGTTACCTTCAGAACAATTTTACAGACATATTTTGATAAAGACTATACCTTCAGGTATGTAGTTATGGTCTATTTCAAGTTTGTCCATCTTGTGAAGTGGAACTTTCTGGTTAATCTCTATAAACTCAACAAAACTCTCCTCTTCTGGAGTTAGAAACACTACAGCACTACCTGTATTACCAATACGAGCTGTTCTACCACATCTAAACAAATCAGAATTATTACATGTAAAATGAAAATAATATGAAAAAGGCAAAGCCTCAAAGCGAGCTCGATGTACTTTTAACGTGAAATAGTATGAAATAATCGCTCATTTTTATTTCAAATGCAGTGACGAGTGCGTGTGACGTCACACGTACTGTGTTAAATATGGCTCCGCCCCTGTCGTTAAATGAATAACGAGTTTTGAAAACAAACGTTGATAAAACTTTGTTTGTTTATTTTATTTCACTCTATAATTTTTCAAGCGAAATAAAGATTATTAAAAGTGAAATAAATGTAAAACTTAACACGTTTGCGACATTAAAATAGCGTACTTGATTTGATTGTTTTGCACGTGCTGTTTGGTGCTACATTGTGACGTCACGTAAACAATACTTTAAACGTCTGTACAGCATTAACGACTGAATAAAAGATATTTTAAGTCATCTGATATTTTATACACAGCTTCCGTTATTCTGGTTCCCTGTCCAATTATGGTTCCCATAGACGTGCGCGGGTGACCAGTCTACACATCCGTTTTCAGTCAGAATTCCTCAGTTTTTATCGTTATCTTTAAATTCGAAAAGTTGCGATGTGTCCAATTCGGTACTTTGGACGAAAGTTTTCAAAACCATCACTTAGCAGGTACTTGCGTTACTGTAAATTATTGCATATATCAGGAGAATTGATTAATATGAAATAGAGGATATTTGTTTAGTTCAGTGTAAGATCAAAATATATTTCACCGTGTGAGCACCAAAAGGTATATTTCACGAGTGGCGCAGCCACGAGTGAAATATAAACTTTTAGTGTTCACAAGGTGAAATATATTCCTATCTTACATTAAACTAAACAAATTTTCTTTTTCTTATATGCAGAGAAACGTTTAAATAGACATTTTAATCTAATACTAAATGAAAAGCGCGCAAAATAATACTAAAACATGACTTCATTTATGACTGAGGTAATAATGTATGCTGAGTTATGAATAAACAGATAAATTTGAGATTATGTTTTGATTTGATCATATTAGTACTTTTCACTTCATATAAATATTGTGCAAAATAATAATATTACAGTACTAAAACTTTTTTTAAAAAAATTCTAAAATTAATTATCTTTGCATTGGATCTTTGGAAAAAGAGTAATATATGAGCTGCGCCATGACAAAACCAATGCGTTTGCAACCAGCATGGATCCAGACCAGTCTGCGCATTCACACAGTCTGATCCGGATCCATGCTGTTCCCTTACAAACCCTATAACAAGTAGAGAAACTGATAGCGAACATCATGGATCCTGATCAGACGCACTATGTTGGTTTTGTCATGTCGCCGTTCATATATACACAAACTTTATTCAAACCTGTGTACAAATACAGAAGCAGTAGTGGGTGGATCATACTGTATGACACAGTTAACTTCTGGTATATCAATCCCCCGCGCCATCACATCGGTACACACTAATACCCCGCCTCCCTGTGACTTGAACCGTGATATCACTTTCTTCCTATTCTTCATCTTACCATGGATACAATATAGCTGAAAATACAAACATTTGAGTGAATATAGAATATATCTTTCACTGAAGTGAGATACACCTAGGTTACTGCATCATTTGAGTGAATATAAAATATATCATTCATTTAAGTGAGATACACCTTGGTAACTGTATCATTTGAGAGGATATAGAATATAGCGTTCACTGAAGTCAGATACACCTGGGTAACAGTATCATTTGAGAGGATATAGAATATAGCGTTCACTGAAGTCAGATACACCTTGGTAACAGTATCATTTGAGAGGATATAGAATATAGCGTTCACTGAAGTCAGATACACCTGGGTAACTGTATCATTTGAGAGGATATAGAATATAGCGTTCACTGAAGTCAGATACACCTGGGTAACTGTATCATTTGAGAGGATATAGAATATAGCGTTCACTGAAGTCAGATACACCTGGGTAACTGTATCATTTGAGAGGATATAGAATATAGCATTCACTGAAGTCAGATACACCTGGGTAACAGTATTATTTGAGAGAATATAGAATATATTGTTCATTGAAGTGAGATACACCTGGGTAACTGTATCATTTGGAAAATATAAAATATATATCGTTTACTAAATGTTACTGTACCATTTCAGAAAATATAGAATATATCCTTCAATGAAGTGAGATACACCAGTCCTGGGTTACTGTATCATTTGAGTGAATATAGAATATATCGTTCACTGAAGTGAAATACACCTGGGTAACAGTATCATTTGAGAGGATATAGAATATAGCGTTCACTGAAGTCAGATACACCTTGGTAACTGTATCATTTGAGAGGATATAGAATATAGCATTCACTGAAGTCAGATACACCTGGGTAACTGTATCATTTGAGAGGATATAGAATATAGCGTTCACTGAAGTCAGATACACCTGGGTAACTGTATCATTTGAGAGGATATAGAATATAGCATTCACTGAAGACAGATACACCTTGGTAACTGTATCATTTGAGAGGATATAGAATATAGCGTTCACTGAAGTCAGATACACCTGGGTAACAGTATCATTTGAGAGGATATAGAATATAGCATTCACTGAAGTCAGATACACCTGGGTAACTGTATCATTTGAGAGGATATAGAATATAGCGTTCACTGAAGTCAGATACACCTTGGTAACTGTATCATTTGAGAGGATATAGAATATAGCATTCACTGAAGTCAGATACACCTTGGTAACAGTATCATTTGAGAGGATATAGAATATAGAGTTCACTGAAGTCAGATACACCTGGGTAACTGTATCATTTGAGAGGATATAGAATATAGCATTCACTGAAGTCAGATACACCTGGGTAACTGTATCATTTGAGAGGATATAGAATATAGCGTTCACTGAAGTCAGATACACCTTGGTAACTTTATCATTTGAGTGAATATAGAATATAGCATTCACTGAAGTCAGATACACCTTGGTAACAGTATCATTTGAGAGGATATAGAATATAGCATTCACTGAAGTCAGATACACCTTGGTAACTGTATCATTTGAGTGAATATAGAATATAGCGTTCACTGAAGTCAGATACACCTTGGTAACTGTATCATTTGAGAGGATATAGAATATAGCGTTCACTGAAGTCAGATACACCTTGGTAACTGTATCATTTGAGAGGATATAGAATATAGCGTTCACTGAAGTCAGATACACCTTGGTAACTGTATCATTTGAGAGGATATAGAATATAGCGTTCACTGAAGTCAGATACACCTTGGTAACTGTATCATTTGAGAGGATATAGAATATAGCATTCACTGAAGTCAGATACACCTGGGTAACTGTATCATTTGAGAGGATATAGAATATAGCGTTCACTGAAGTCAGATACACCTTGGTAACTGTATCATTTGAGAGGATATAAAATATAGCATTCACTGAAGTCAGATACACCTGGGTAACTGTATCATTTGAGTGAATATAGAATATAGCGTTCACTGAAGTCAGATACACCTTGGTAACTGTATCATTTGAGAGGATATAGAATATAGCATTCACTGAAGTCAGATACACCTTGGTAACTGTATCATTTGAGAGGATATAGAATATAGCGTTCACTGAAGTCAGATACACCTTGGTAACTGTATCATTTGAGAGGATATAAAATATAGCATTCACTGAAGTCAGATACACCTGGGTAACTGTATCATTTGAGAGGATATAGAATATAGCATTCACTGAAGTCAGATGCACCTTGGTAACTGTATCATTTGAGAGGATATAGAATATAGCATTCACTGAAGTCAGATGCACCTGGGTAACTGTATCATTTGAGAGGATATAGAATATAGCATTCACTGAAGTCAGATACACCTGCAGGCTGGGTAACTGTATCATTTGAGAGGATATAGAATATAGCATTCACTGAAGTCAGATACACCTGGGTAACTGTATCATTTGAGAGGATATAGAATATAGCGTTCACTGAAGTCAGATACACCTTGGTAACTGTATCATAATCATTTGAGAGGATATAAAATATAGCGTTCACTGAAGTCAGATACACCTGGGTAACTGTATTATTTTAGAGTATATAGAATACATACATTGTTCATTGAAGTGAGATAAGCTGGGTTAATGTATCATTTGAGTGAATATAGAATATATCATTCATTTTAGAGAGATACATCTGGGTTACTGTATCATTTGTAAGAATATAGAATATATATCGTTCATTGAAGTGAGATACACCTATGTCAGTGGGGCCAATTGTTATCAATTCAAATACATGTACATTGTATGTCTCATTTATCCCTGAGCAATAAAAAAATTCAGCTACATTTATTACTTCCCCCTTCTTCTATGCCATTTTAGGCAGTACCAGAAATTCAAAATGTAAATACTATTAAATAATTATGGTTATGTAATCTTATTATTTATTTAAATGATGTAACAGAGGCCCAATGGAGTTCGACATAGATTTATCATGAAAATTAAAACATGTAAATTTTCCCCTCGGACATGTCTGAAAATTCCATAAAATGAATACAACTGTAACATATGAGTTATTATTAAACTTTGTCATTCATATTTTCGAATTACATTTACAGTAAAACATAAAGCTCACCTGTGTCTTCTTCAACAGCGGTTGCAGTATTTTGCTGAAATAATCAACACCAGCGCATGTACTTAAAAACATCATAATCTTCTGTTTCCTATGAGTTTGTATAAATGATATCAGCTGATTTAACTTCTCATCACTGTTCACTATCATGTAATAGTTTTTTAATGTTGAAGGTGTTCTCTGAATTTCCTCGCCAGATGAACTATTGGTAATCCTTGACTTTTCTTTGATAGAAACTCGAACTGGATTTCTAAGTCCAGCTCTGATCAGGCTTTCTACTTCAGCTGTTTAACAGACAAATACATATTGAGAAATATCGATGAAATAAAATACATATTTTCACTGTAAAAAAATTATTATTCACTGCAATGAAAAATATTTTTCATATTTTCACTGGTATGTTGCTGGACTACTTTTTTTCTAGGTTCATCCAATACAAAAAATTAAAAGGGAAGACTTTAAAATTGTAACGTTAAATAAAGAAAACAAATGTACATAATAAAAAGAAAATTCTTGTGGTATGAAAATTATCATATTTGAACATTTCACTTACTTGTGGCTACAGCCACTTACATGACATTTTTATATTCATACCAATTGATGAAAATAACTTCTGTATTTATTATTTTATATAAAAAAATTGAATATCCTCTATGTATATGTAATATTTTATACATTTAAAGAAATGAACAATAAACCATGTCACAGAAACAGCTTGTAAATGAGTCATTATGGGTATATCAATTTCAATATATTGCCTTTTCATCTAGAGTAATTACAAGTATTTCAAAGTTTTGCATTAAAATTATAGCTCAGATTATAAAAGTTAACTTAATCACATTACAAAATAGTACTATGGATCATTTTCTTCTAGGGAAACTACATGTACCTGTCTGAGTTGCTGAAAACAATCCAGTTCTTCTCTGTTTAGGTAAGAAACTAAGAATTGTGTTTAAGCTAGCCTCAAAACCCATATCTAACAGTCTGTCTGCCTCATCTAGTACCAGAATGTCTAGGTCTTTTACACATCTTGCCAGCTCTATGTGTCCTTGCTTCTTCTCAAACATGGCTTCCAGACGCCCAGGTGTTCCAATCATTATGTTAGCTGAATATAAAATAATAATGGTCAATTATAACAGGCAAGCACAATCAGGCAAAATTAATCCTGTTCCAGAACCCTAGATATTTCTGCTTTATTATTTTAACATATTTACTTCACAAAATAATGCCCATTAGCTAGGCATGTCAAAAGAATTATTGTCCCTCCACAGATAAAATTCTGTTTCAGACCTGCTCATCTTTTTGATTTCATGGCTTCCAATCCCTTTCACAAGTGTATTGTATTTTTTAATTCTCTAATAATTCACAATAGCATTCAAAACATAACTGGAATGTAGAACCTGAGCTGGTTTGCACTGTAGTGTAAGTGTGGTGGTGTTTGTAGTTTTCACTTCGGATCACAGCAGTAGGCCACACTGAATTTACTAGAGCACAGTTCAGTCACCGCATTGTTCCTGGGCAGGCTGTTAAACAGTTTACCAGTACTAGTTTCCTTCACTTTCACAAGGAACTGATTACTTCTGTACATGTATGCAAGGGCAAAATACAGTGCAAATGACCATTCACAATCACAACAAAAGTGACCTGCGCCGTCCGGGAATCGAACCCGAATCGCCCCATTAACAGTCTAACACTCTACCTATTGAGTATTGAGATAACTGCACTGTAAGTGTAGTATGCCCCAGATCTTTAGACTTTAATAAACATGCGACCATGCTACAAGTTTAACCCTTCTCATGCTGCCTATGTAATTATATGCAATATGCACAGATGCTGAGTTTCCATTGTCTAAATTCTAAGAACACACCAATCATACTTGATATGTCATAGATCACTCATTTTTGAAGATATATTCAATAAACTTATATCTAGGTGTATGTACATTGAACAAGGAAAATTATGGTCCGGTAAAAAAATGTATTTGTTTACTTCACAGGTAAAATTACAGGTGATAATTACAGGTAAAGATAAAAAACATTGAAAATGTAATATAAAGGTGTTTCAATAGCATGAAACACTTCCTTTTGGATTTTGTTACAACAAATTGATAAAAAAGAAATCCCTGGAAGAGAAATATTTCATAAAACTGGCATTTATAAATATCTACCTGTGGATTAGAACCTATTATATATGCAAGTAATGTTCAATAAATTGCCGTCCATTCTTGTATTTATGTTATATGAAATATGTCAAATTGGATTTGTAAAATGGAAAACTATGATAGTGAATCAATAATATAAATTCTAAAGAGCACCCAGTTTGTTTTTTATCTCTTTTGGCATATCATCAACCACAGATTATATCAGTTACCATGGATACAACAGTTACAGGTAAGCAGTTACCGACAGTCACCCTGAAACAGTCGCATGTATTTAGTCATCATCACTAACAGAACTTGCATCATTACTATTATTCTGTAGGATTCTTTTATAATCTTTATAGGAATGATAAATCCTAAAGCAGTCAGGAATACACAGAACAACATTGCATTTCTCACACATGTATATACTTTGCTGTCTTTTGTGTCCGTCACGTTTTTTCGCACTCTGGTTGCAAGCTACACAGTCTCTCTGAGGGTGTTTTCTTTTGGCTCCTATCTTGGCTGGTATGTATATTGGCAAGTGATGGGTTCCCAGTAACCTGTCTAATGGTTCAGCAAGCTTCCTACCAATGGATTCTTTAGGTCTAGGTGCATTCTCTGCTGACTGAATGAGAGCTCGAACTAATTTGGATCGAAACTGTTGATGTGAACGCCTTGTTGCTCCATTACGATTCCCATATTTCAGAAAAAGTTTGTAGGAATTCAAAACAAGCATGTTTAGCATATGGAAGAATAATTTCTTCCACCATTTTACTGTTCTCCTCAAAGCTTCATAGTATTGTAAGAGTTGATCTGATAAGTCTATACCTCCCATGTTCTGACAGTAATCGACCACTGACGTCGGCTTGACAAGATCATCACCATGTCTACGTTTGTCCAAAACAGTGTAAGTAGCTTCATGGATGGTACTTATCATATGTACATCTCTCTTTTCATGGAATTTGATTACTAAAATATTACCACATCTCCTAAAGACTGATTCACCTGGCCTCAATTTTATTTGAGGAAATACTTTTGGCATATTTTTCCTATTAGAACGTACAGTCCCACACATATATGTATCATGGGCATCGAGTTCCGATGCAAGCTCTGGCGAATTATAGTAGTTATCTAGATAGACCTTGTGGCCTTTGTCCAAAAGACCACTCCGAGCCAAAAGTCCAACAACGACTTTGGTAGTTTGTGTAAGATCAGGGTTAGCATCAACCAGTTCTGCATACATTGCACAGCCAGGCGTACCGTCATATATATCAAAACTGAGTATATACCCACTGGAACTTTCACAGCATTGATACAGTTTTATGCCAAACTTATTTGGCTTAGAAGGGTTGTATACGCGGAATAAAATTTTTCCCTTGAAAGGACAGGTCCCCTCATCAAACGCTATCTTTTCCTCGGGACTATATTTCAGACTAGAAATGTGTCATCATGCCACGGATGCCCCCGCATGCAGCCAAAATTTCAGATGTTATAATATTTAGTTCCAAATTTGTTTGCACAAATTATTGTTTTCATTTAAAGTTCAAAGCCCTTAAAACTTTTCAATGTTAACACAAACCATTTCCATACAATGTTCAAGGCACTGAAATTATTCAGTCTTAACCTTTTGAAAATAGCATATTTCATATTTGTAGCCAAAATAATGGCTACATACATTTCCACAAAAGTATGAGTGCTGAAACTGAAAGTTCAAAATTTTTCCAATATTCAAGAAAGATAAGTTTGTCCAAAATCATTGAACCACGACCAAATTCAAACTTAAACTGCTTATTCCTAAGATGTATCTATATTATTTTCAAAGTGAAAGGGACATAACTCTGCCAAAAAAATCATCGAACCATGACCAAATTCCAACTTGACCTGCCCATTCCTTTGACATATCCATATGTCAAATTTGAGTTGAATATGTAACACTGCTGGGTAGATAATGAACAGAAACTGTAAATTTCATATTAATTTCAAAGTGAAAGGGGCATTACTCTGCCAAAAATCATTGAAGAAAGAACAAATTCGAACTGGGCCTGGGCATTCCAAAAACATATCCATATGTCAAATTTGAGTTGAAAATGTTGTACCGTTGGGGAGATAATGAACGGAAACCGAAAATTTCATATTATTTTCAAAGTAAAAGGGGCATAACTCTGCCAAAAATCATCGAACCATGACAAAATTCGAACTTGACCTGTATTTTCTAATGACATATCCATATGTCAAATTTGAGTTAAATGTGTTGAACCGTTGTGGAGATAATGAACGGAAACTCAAAATTTCATATTATTTTCAAAGTAAAAGGGGCATAACTCTGCCAAAAATCATCGAACCATGACAAAATTCGAACTTGACCTGTATTTTCTCATGACATATCCATATGTAAAATTTGAGTTGAATTAGTTGTACCGTTGGGGAGATAATGAACGGAAACTGAAAATTTCATATTATTTTCAAAGTAAAAGGGGCATAACTCTACCAAAAATCATCGAACCATGACCAAATTCAAACTTGACCTGTATTTTCTCATGACATATCCATATGTCAAATTTGAGTTGAATGTGTTGTACCGTTGGGGAGATAATGAACGGAAACTGAAAATTTCATATTATTTTCAAAGTAAAAGGGGCATAACTCTGCCAAAAATCATCGAACCATGACCAAATTCGAACTTGACCTGTATTTTCTCATGACATATCCATATGTCAAATTTGAGTTGAATATGTGCAACCGTTACTAAGATAATGAACGGAAACTGATGATGACGGAATGACAGAATGACGGAAGGACGGAATGACGGAAGGACGGAATGACGGAAGGACGGAACAGGGTAACACTATATGCCCCGGCCATTACATGGCGGGGGCATAAAAATTGTTGCGGAGCATGTTTGCAAATGGTCTAATTTTGTATAACCTGTCATTATTCTGGTTTTCAGCATTCACGGTCTACTAACAATGATCATAAATCTATCTCTAGACATCATTTAGCCAAAAAATGGAGTTTCATAGCTTTCGTCATTTTGTAAAGAAATCAACTATATCAGGTTTTCTAACTAAACCCATGGCCAATGTCAGGGCGATAAAAATTTTCATTTCATCCACTTAAATGCCAGTCCAATTTCTCAGCCTAGAAAAAGGTCTTAGACTACTGGTATTTATCCGATTCTGTGCATATCGATTTGTCTCTGTGACTAAAATGTCCCACATATCATCATCGAACAATAAAGCACAGAAGTCGAGCTCCGTACAATCATCTGGTAGCTCCACTGTCAATCCTGGTGTGCCTGAAATGATAAAAAATAAAAACATTCAAGTTCATAACTATACAATTTACATGTATTTTTATGATTGGCAAATAAACACAATTTCTGGTTTTTATTCATTCAATTATTTACTATACATGTTATCATCTAGTTGTCAAAAGTTGCGCTAAAACTTACATGTACAATTAGAAATCTAAATGTACAAGCAAATTAGTATATACATGTGTGAGAGTGCAGTTACTTTGCAGAAACATTCCTTTCTGAAATAGACGTATACTGGTATATATATATACACATAGATTATATTTTATTCAAAAGAAATTTTAGCATGATATGAAGACGAAGTCATTTCAAAAATAACCTGTAAAAGGAGCAATAGTGGGTGGAGAATCTTCTCGACTCCATCCGAACTGGATATCCTGAGCATTTTCTCGGTCATTTATGCTCTGATCGATCCTAAACGATGGTCTAGAAGGTACATCGGGGGGTATGTCATCGATATCGAAGCCCTCAAAGTCGCTTTCCCCGGATGAATATGGGTCCCAACGCGCATAAAAATTATTGTCCAGGTCGCTGTCATTACCGGACGCCATTTTGATAAGTTCTCGTTTAGGCCGAGAGGTACTGTTTTTATTTTTGGTAGAATGTCATTCTAAATTTAGTATTTTTATGACGTATTGGTATTTTTACAAGCACTGACAACACTATTATCCAATGATTGTACGCATTTTCTACCACGTCATCGGAAATCCCCGACCTCGTTCTCGATCTAAGGTCACTAGGTAAAACGTCAATATACGCGAACAGCACTGAAAGGAAGGGAATACCTTCGCGTCAATATACGCGAACAGCATGATAAGGGTTAAAGCTATTTTACAGACACTGACATCACTATATGTTAAGAAGTGAATAGCTGTAGCTGGGGCCCAGTATGGCTAGCCAAAAGTTGTAGCCGTACATGAGTCATGTACGGCTAGCCAGGACACACTGTATTGTCTAGCAGTAGCTGTATGGCACTTTTCAAAATTATGTGAATTTTCAAACATGCATATGCTATTTTATGTCTTTAAATGCGGATTTTAACCAAGAACTTGCTTCTGTCCTTGTAGGCTTACTTTAATTTACTGGCTAGCCGTATTTGGCACATAGATCCCTGATAACAAAGATCATACAGCTTTGCAGACCCGGCCTTTGACTTGCCCGGCTATAGACTATATGTGTATATTTAAAAGGAAATCAAACAAAAAAAACAATTAAAAAATATATAAAATTATATACCTATCAATGAAATTTTCAATGTCAGTTCTAGTCATGGGCCGTCATTTTCAATGTAACTCAATTATAATAGGCGAGGTATTGTGATAACAGACAAACGCAACTTTTTGGATTTATAATAATCGTCGAGACTCGAATGTTCCGAGTGTAAACGGAAGTGGTGCATGAAATACCGAGTGACACATTTAAAACGGAGAAATGAACGATTTTTTAACCGACTTCCCCGTTCATAGGATTTGCCTAATTCAATATTAGTATTGCGTATTACTATGTTAACTTTTCAACTGAGAGAACAAAACTTTTTGAGTATCAACTTTAACTCACCAACACTCTCATTATCTTGTGTTATTTTCCCTCCAATCACTAGAGATGTAGTCAAATTAGGAACTTGTTTACCAAAACAGCACACAACTTCGTAAATCTGCTGAGCAAGATCACGCGTAGGACTCACAATCAACGCACCAACTTCATGCTTTTTCAGTGCAGTTTCACGTTTTTTTAACAACTCGAATATTGGGATTACAAAAGCCAACGTTTTCCCGCTTCCAGTGACAGCCTCTGCTGCCACATCCTTGTAAGAAAGTAAGAGTGGAATACATGCTGCCTGAACAGGGGTTGGTTTATCAAATTTAAGCTCTTTTAAAGATGTAAACGTTGATTCGCTGATAGATTGCGAAATTTTTCTCCACGAGTCAACCATGTTTTCCATCTGTGTCAGAAAACGCTTGATTCTCAGTGAATTTTATTTTTCCAAACGCTTGTCTGATACAGACTAATTAAATAAGATTTTATTGAATATAATTTATATTGTTTTCGTCTATATTTGTTTACACTATTGAATACCAATTTTTGATGTTCGTGGATAAAATTCATATTTTTAATCATGGATATTATAAGCTACATAAAGGAATCGATATGTTACTGACTGGGTCAAAGGTAGACATGATTCTCTTACTTATAATTTTCTTTTTTAACTGGAACGTTGCCTTAGTAACAATGTAAACAACTCAGAAAATGATACACCTTAAGCTAAAATTGAAATAGTTTATAATGCATGAATTAAGTTCATTTGAAGAGACCACGTATCACTGAAAATATTTCTTTTAGCTTGTCGTATCAAAATATACTTTTGAACTAGAGCTGCATGCTTGTATAATAGGCACATGTACGTACATGTATTGCTTATGTATATATATACATGTATTGTATAATTTTGGTTTAACTATTTATGTAAAAGCTAGAACTTTTTATTTATTTTTCTTTGCACAATTTCTGGACGTTTCACTGGTAAATGTTAATTCTTCAACATGACTAAACGATGGAAAATACACTTTTATAATTAGAAGTTTAATTGCCTTATTTTTTTTAAACTACTGTATACATCATCTTGAAATATTTGATTACAAATTACTTCCCTGTTGCAAAATGACAACACGGAATGATACAGTTATTGAATATAAAATGGAAACTGTTTTCACATTATTCATATATATTATATAAAATGTAAATACATAAATGTATTGATAATCGATTATAGGATTATGTTATACGGGTAATTTATAGATCTAATTGTATATATGTATTGAAAGTAAATCAATTGATAAATTGTTTTTTATTGATAGCTATTTTTCTTTATTTAAATCACAACCAATAACTTCTGTTAGAATCGTTACTATAGTAGAGTAACTAGTTTAAAGGTCTATATATTATGCTTTAGAAAGACTGTAATTTTTATTTCTCAAAAACTTTAAAATTTTAGTATCTTAATTGTTACCGTCTGATTATTGGTTATCTGGTTACTGTTTCAAAAAATATACAGTTGTTGAACAATCTTTTGCTTTCCTTGCTGAGTTGGCATTTGGTATAATTGTATCGAATTAGTATTTTGTATGAAAGCCAAAAATAGTCATTTGTTTACATTTTAATTGCTACCTTTATGTACATTACTTCACGTTCATCCCTATACTTTCTTCAGTTAACACGTCTTAAATCCTTTATTAAAACATTATTAAACATATGTTTGATATTTTCTGGTATCTTCTGTCCCAGATATTTCTAAACAATTCAAACAAAATGGATTTCTGAGGCATAATTATGCACCTATATTTAAAGCTAAGTTTAACAAATCTGCTGAGATCGAATATCTGGAAGTCTGCTGCGAATCTGGAGGTCGAGTTCATTAAGTTAGATGATGGACATTCTTTGATTACTTCCATTACAATTTCTTTCTTCTGATCCATTATTTCATTTATGTACCCTTTTAAAGTTACCCTGCTGAGCGCTGAAATTATGGAATGGTCTTGCCCGGCGTTGAATACGAAACTGTCAATTGTTTATGTGAATTGGTTTAAACATATTTATTTAAGCTCGAATGTGAAACAAGTTCTTGCAACTTACATTAATCACTTTCGAGTCCGCTTCCTGGAACCAACCAGTACTGGTGTCATATGGAGAAACATGATTGAAACCCGAGTAGGGCTCGAGCCCATGATCTCTGGATTGAAAGGCAGACACCTTAACCACTAGGCCACCGCTCCCCTTAATGTGAATTATGGCTTTCGATCAAAATCAGGACAAACTCGAATAGCCAACAGTAGAACGTCTGCTCATATAACATGGGTGTACATTTTTGTCTTGCTCTCTTAGGATTTCATATACATATTAATATTGCTGAACATAATACTTGGCGGTTTCATAAGACTTTATTTTAGGCACCTAAATGAAAACTAATGTTTAAATACATTATAAAGGTATTCCGAAAGATGTATTATTCTTGGTTATTTATTCGGCTGGGATAATTGAAGTTTGTGATTTTTACAAGGTGAATTTTCGTGATAAAAAAATGAAATAATTAGTACATGGCAGTCTAACGAATATTTCCAAATAAGATGTACTTAATTCTGTCTGCGCATGAACCAGGTATTCATAATATTAATGACTGATTTTGGTTTTCAGTTACAATATTCTTTGATTTCGTTTGAGAAAGTGTCTGAAATGTTCTTTACAAATAAAATTGAGGTGTTTCTAAAATCTATTTATTTATTCTTTCAGAGCGTAGTAATACATCATTTATAAAACGAAATGGATCCAGATGACGTCATAAAACGACAACCGAATGAAGACAGAACACATAATACGAACACAAAAGCTACGTCAAATGATGATGACGTTTCTTATGTAGACAGTGATACGCATGCGCAAGCATTTTGCTGTTGTATCCACGGCTGGAAAAGTGGACCGGATCCGCGATGGTATTACCCTTGGGATAAAGGAATTTACAGACTACTTGGTGTGTGCTGTATGTGGTACTGTGTGTGCGCGTTTGTACCATGTGTTATGTGCAATAAGACAGCCAGGGACATTGTGTGTTGTGAGGGACAGTGTACTGAAAGTCGTAAACCCGGACACATGGACGGTCACCCAGACGGTCACCCAGACGAAAGGGACGAGATCGCAGAGGCGTAATTACATATAATCAAACCTATTTAGTCTTCCGGTGAAAGAGATACTGATTTTCATTTTTTATGAATTCTTTTTTTAATTTCGCAATCATATAGTTGCGATAAAATTTGCGTAAATACTTAAGCCCATAAAGGGCAAGAACTATACATATTGATGCATTTATCTTAAAAAATATTAATTAGAAATTTATATTTGTATTATTTTATGTATATTTTTAAAATAAAACACTTAAAACTATGTCCAATTTAATAGTCACGTCACGCGGAAATGTACTCCACTGAGTAATTTTGACGTGCCATTCCACGAGATTGGTGTACAAATAAATAACGGTCTGGACCAATAACGTTTCTGCAAATTTTCAAGTCATTCCGTCATCCCCTTTTTACAGACTTACCAGTGTTATTGTGCAAAATACTTAATATTTTCAAGATTTTCAAATTTTACGTTTCTAGGCTTTTTGTGAAGTTTCTTTAACAAAGCTCAATAAAGAGAACGTCGGATTGTAATGTAGGAAACGCTCAAGTTCGAGTCTCGGGCTAGTCCAGATTTCTCCATGACAAATGATTTCGGACATTACCCAGGTCTGATCCAATAGTCAAATGTCTCTCACCATTTATTCAGAAATCATATAATATTTGTAATCGTCCATTTAGGTAGAAATTAGTAATTACTGGCAAGTTATCTCGGAAAGCCGGATACGTGGAACAACCGCCGAAATATAACCAAAACATGTGTTAAAATTGGCGGTTAAAATCCACCAATAAACAAAAAGAACAAAACATCAACAAAAAACTACAAAAAAAATGTTATTTTCCCGTTTTAAGAATTTTAGACCAACACTATTATTATAGATCTAGATGCCATTTTGAACAAAGAATTATTGAAGAAAACAAGTTAGGGAAAGGCAGGGTGAGGGCGGCGGTGATTGTCATGCCAAACATTTCGACCATGCAAGTATCAAAACTTTGCTTGACAAAACCACTCATTGTTTTAAGTTAAGTATTGACTGATTAGCGAACAGTGTAGATCATGGTGAGGATTCATGATTAAATCTGTTGCTACCTCATACATATCTAACATATATTTTTCTAGAGTTTGATTTTTCTAAGTTTTGATTACGTATTTGTATGAAGACGTGGTACTTTTAACAATCATGGACGTATATTTTGTTTGTTGATTTTTACGCTTCCTGAACAATTTCTTTTGAGACGGCTACAATCCTCACCAATGCAATATATAGTTACGACACTCAGGAAATAGTCTTCTTGTCCCGTGTTCACTAAGAAAAGATCAGGAAATAAAACTACAAAAGTCTCTGACTTCTTTTTCAATCCTGGTTAAAATAATGCGGTTTTATCATAATTGTTTATGTTTGCATTATATGAAATCTAATAATAATGAAATTTCTAGAATCAAATTGTACATATTCAGAAAGGTAAAATAAATGCTGATTTTCAAAGAAACAAAAATATGTTGGGACAAAATCGACGAATAATAAAACAGTTACAAAAATAACCGAATCAAAATAATGATCAGTTTTAGGATTAAGAACAGTATTTGGGTCAACTGTAAAATGCCCAAATGTTACAAAAAATAACAAATAAATCTATTTCAATTTCATAAACTTGCTATTTAAGTCAAATCTTAAGTTTAATAATTATGTGGGGATAAACAATAAACTTAGTATATTTGAGTTTTTAATTTTGATCCTGATCTTGATCCTTAAATGTTAGTGAACACGGGGCCTCGTGTAACTTGACACCATGTCTAGGTCCCTAAAGGGGAGTCTTAAAGCTCATGTTTAGGTCCCCAAAAAGGGTGATAAATGGAGAAATAAACAGAAAAACAATAGGGACAGTTTATTCACATTACTGATAAAGTCTTTTTATCTTTAAAGGCAAATATATTTCGGATAACAGTGAGATTGTAATGATAATGCATTTATTGTCACAATTTAAATAATAAATGTGATTATTGATATAATAAACAAACAATGTTGCTAATCAAGCCCACATATTTTCTGTAACAAAACTCACAAATTTCGTCACCTAAGTGCATTAACTGGTTAACGCCTTATTATGATTTAATAGAAGTTAACCCAATATTTCACTAATGATACGAAATGTTCTTGCTCAAGTATCTCTGTGTGTTAGTGTAAATCAAATTTTGGATAAACTAAGACCATGGATTATGATGAAGGTTTGATCATTCTATTTATTTACATGTTTTTAATTCATTTAATGAGCCGCGTCACGACAGACCAACATAATGGGTTTGCGACCAGCATGGATCCAGAACAGCCTGCGCATCCGCGCAGTCTGATCAGGATCCATGCTGTTCGCTTACAAACCCTATTACAAGTAGCGAAACTGATAGCAAACAGCATGGATCGCGGATGCGCAGGCTGGTCTGGATCCATGCTGGTCGCAATCACACTATGTTGGTTTTGTCGAGACGCGGCTCAAATGCTTATACATATGATGCCTGGTTTAGCTAATCAATATTCTCGTGTGATTATCCTTTTTTTCCAGAATAGTTAAATAAGTGTTATTATAGATATTCATCCTTTAAATTGTACAAAAAAAGTGTAAATAATTTTATATCTAATCCATATAGATTTACATATATACAGAAATTACATATTGCAGTTTCCAAAAGTTAACGATAAATAATGTTTTTTTTTTCGATTTTCTGTTTCATTAATTAATTAATCATTCATTCATTCATTCATTCATTCATTCATTCATTCATTCATTCATTCATTCATTCATTCATTCATTCATTTATTCATTCATTCATTCAAGACCGAGAAGATGCGATTGATCTTCCACAATTTACGTATTTTTTCCCCATTTTCAGAATACGATGTAGATGACAGAAATATACAGGTATGTTTTATTTTGTCATAAACATATGAATCTGAAGAGAGATTTTAGGCCGAGACTATGTGCTACTACTGCTGCAGCAGCTGCTGCTGTTTTTCTACGTGTTTAAATTTTTCATAACCCTACCATTGAGGTTTCTGACATGACAGAACTAGACATTTGTTTCCGATTTTTCTTTTTGGATCAATAACTTATGCTCATTCCGTGTTTCTGTTTTCTTAATATATATAAATTTTAATTGTGCAAAAAAAAAATGACAGGCGTTTAGACCTTTTAAAAATCAATTTTAATTCAATTTTGAGTATTAGTATATTATTTATTACTTTTGCATAGTTAAGGGTCCTAGTTGATCTATATATAAGAATTTCAAATTTTATGTTTTTGGACCACAGTGGAGTCGCTTTAAACCTGAAGCTTTTGCCACCAAACCCGTGCAATCCACATAATAATTATCTGACAAAATTAAGATAGTCGTCATGTTACCAAAATAAATAATGGAACGGTCCGCACAATTAGCTGAGTAGGCGAGCTTCAGATTAGTCACTCAAAGGTCGCAGGTTCGAGTTTCTGGAAAACCGTAATCTAATTTCTCGGAAGTCGAGTTCATTTAGTCTGTCATCGCGGATACAGATATTACTTGTATGTATGGTTAGTAGTTGGTCACTTGCGGAGAAAATAAAAATTACTGGTTGTTTATCTAGGAAAGTCGGTAAGGTGGATCGACCGTCGAGACCAAAACCATGTGTTAAAACTAACAGAAATATAAAACAACAAATTTTAATGATATTAATATAGAAATGGACAGTCCCTAAAATTGAGGAATTCAGCGTGTTAAAATTTTGAATGCGCAGAGTACTTATAATTATTGATCAATATTTCACTTATTTGTTATAATATTTAGGATGAAAGGCTGCTGTCTCAAGGAAGTTATGGAACACTGAATGTTCCGAAGACTTGCGTCTTTGTAGTCGGGATAATGGCGGGGTCTGGATTTCTCGCTCTTCCAAAATCTGTAGATAACACCGGTAAGTTACATTATCTCTTTATATGGTGTGGTGTCAAAAATGAGTTATTTAAAACAACAACAACAATGGAAACCGTGGAGCTATGTCATTAATTAAGAGGCAAGAAAGCAAGAAAATGAAGATTTTTCAGTTAATTAATTTTAAATACTGTTATTAATTACGTATTGTTATTAATTAACTGTTGCAATTAATTGATAACAGTTATTATTAAATTCGTTACTGACTATTATTATTTAATTACTATTATAAATAAAATTTAGGGGATATTCTTGAATTTTCTGTTTATTACATAGATTTTTCTAAAAACAATTGACATTACAATTTGAAAGGATTCCCCTCAAATTTTGTGTATTGGCTGAATTTAGAAGAAAGTAGTCCGGCAAGACACCAGTGAAAATACAGAAATATGTTTCATTGCAGTGAAAAATAAATTTTTAAAGTAAAAATACGAAACATGAAAATACGTATGTTCCATCAATATTTTTCTGTATTTCATTATAATCATATAATAATTGTAGTTAATAATTAACATGCTGATCTAAATGAAAATGATGAAAAAGTCGTGAAATTATTACATCAGACTTCCCACATGTATTTTGAAGGAAATAAAATCTGTATATTTTAGGATGGGTAGGAATAATACTGTTGGCTTTGTTCTGTCTTCTGTCGTTTTATACGTCCACGTTCTTATCTCGCTGCTGGCAGATGATGTTGGAACGTGGACTGCTTCCACCAAATGGTCATATACGTTACCCGTACCCAGCCATTGGCGAAGCTGCGTTCGGAAAATACGGAAAGTACGCTGTCTAGTTATATCAAGCAATAAGTAAACATGAGAATAAATTGTGTTATGCATAAACTTGAACAGAAGTTTTTCTTTGAGTTTTGTTACCACTGCTGAGGTTCAAAAGCCTAAAAACATAAAATTTGTATTTTTTTACATAGCTCAGCTAGGGCATTTAAAAACAAAAAGACATGCAAATGATGGCGAAAATTAAAATACAAGAGCAAAAATAAAAATTCTAACAACATAATGTTCTTCAAAAATCTTTAACTTGTGAAAAAGATAAATATTTCAGAAATTAATGTAAAGCCATGATCATTCTGTTGAAAAAACATATACTGTATTGCTTGTTCAGAATATTTGCCGACAAACTGCGCCATTTTGAAAATGCACCAAATTAAACACCAAATATGCTGAAATATTATATTACTATCCGCTGTAAAATCAATTTTTATTTTTTTCATTGAACAATGCATAAATTAAAAAGTAAATCTTATGAAACTCGGACCTATTTTCAAATATGAGCAGTTACTATAGATTTTTACGAAGGAAAAATTCCTAATTTCATAGCAAATCTATAAAATTGTTACCTTTTTAAGTAAAAACTGATAATTTAATGTAGCCAGGATTACAGGTTTCAGTATTTTTTGATCGATTAAACACCACATTATCTTATAATTTGATTTTTCAACGGTGATGTACTATGCCAGATCACGGTCGGTAAATAACCCCAATCTCGTGATTCAACCGAGACATCTTTTCGTAAAATTGGCCCGACTCTTGACCATTCTGTTAGAAAGACCCTTTTGAGATATTTACTCAGAAATAAATTAAAAATCGTATTATTGTGCTATTCTTAACCCGATTTGAGTTTTCAACCTGATTCTTTTCAAAGGTATGCTGTTAGTGTTGCAATTAATTTCACAAATTTCGGCACCGTGGTTGTATATATACTTCTAGCAGCGGAAAATATACATACTTTGTTAACTGACTATACATCAATGTCCACCTGTATACTAGCAGTCATAGTAACCGGATCCGTGGTTCCGGTCACGTGGTTCGGGACTCCAAAGGACTTTTGGTAAGTAAGCCTGGTACGTTTTTAGTTCCTAAGTATATAGATAAAACGCCGCCAAACATAAAACTATGGTGGCTTATTTGGAACGCTTTTGTGCGTCGTGTTGGCAGCAAAGCGCCAAATGGCGCGTTTTCGGACTTTCGTCTTGTCGTCCTGTCGCTAACGATGTACGCCAAACGGCGCGTTGTCGTGCGGCGTGTTGTCGCGATGTCACATTGTCGCTCGGTTCAAATCGAAGGATTGATTGGCAAGGCACCGCACGACAACGCGCCGTTTGACGTGCTTCGCTAGAGACAGGCAAGGCGACAACGCGCCGTTTGGCGCTTTGTCGTGTTGTCGCTAGCGACAAGACGAAAAGGCGATAACGATAAAGGTTGCGTTGTCGCTATCGACAACGCAACGCGCAATGTACCAAATCAGCCACCATAGAAAACAAACTCACGTAATCTTTTCACATAGTCAGAAAATGCATACAGTTGAAATTATTTCTTTCTTTCATATTCTTTATTACCCTTTGCCAAACAATAACTGCAATGTAGCGGAGTACAAATTCGTAACAAATTCAAATGAATTGAAATGAAAACAAATTGTTTTTCACACACTCGTTTTTGGTTTGTGTACTAGAGACACATTAATAATATAAGCAAGAATAAGTATTTGAATAATCACTCTGTTTAGGACAAATTCGTCACAAAGTATAAGATGTAGTTAGGTACAATAAGTTAAAGGAGCCCCACTTGTGTCCAGAAGCCTCAAAACATAAAAAATTCAATAAACTTACTTCGTAGATCGACTCGGTCACTAAAAACAGGAAAGATATGCTAAAGATAATAATAAAGAAATACATGTACAATCAAAATTGAATTGATCAGTAAAAATAATTATTCTTTAAATAAACGAGAAAGCCAATGATCTGACCTTTTTAATCCAGACCTAGTGCTTACATCAAATTACCTACGAATCTCGAAAGAAAATATTTTCAATCCTGTCATATAACAGTACCTGAGCGGAGTCCCTTTAAAATCTTAAATTAGAGATTTCTATTTCATTAGGGGAACAGCGCTGGCAGCTACAATTGCAACTCTTACAGCAAGTTTACTTGTTTTCTCGAATATTCTCAAAGACAGGCAATATTTCACAGATATGGCTCACACAAATGTTGACGTTGTGTCATTCTTCACGGCGTTTGGCACCATGGCATTCTCTTATGGTGGACATTGTGTGTTTCCGACAGTAATGGCTGACATGAAGAGGCCTAAACACTTCTGGAAAGCATCTTTGATAGGCTATATTGGTAACTATTCATTTAAGTACTTGTATATGAGTGTGACAGGGTTAGTTATCGTGCTCATCAGCAGTTGTCGTTCTTAGATCACAATAAAGTAAGCCTCTCTGCAGCGGTTACTTCTCCGAAAAGAAGCAAAGTGTGAGAAAAGTTCTGATTAAATATGTAAATCAGGCTCCATAGGATGCTCTGCTTATACCGTTTAAAACTTTTCACGTTCAAAGTTTTATGAAAAGAAAAAAAATCTGTAAAGCTATCTAGAGCTAGTTTAGGCAAAACGAATGTCAAGAATGTTAGTAATTGTATTGTGTATTATTATATGGATACATATGCAAACAATTGTTCCCATTTTTTTCTATAGTTTAAGTTATATTGTTTGCATGTACGTTGCACTTCATATTTATTTTACTAGTACACATATATGGTATTGTAACATGGCATTGTGTATTTAGTTTTGCTGGTAATCTATATGCCGTCATCAATAGCATCGTATCTTACATACGGGCAAATGATATCACCAAACGTCCTTGACACGGTGTCACGTGGACCAATGAGGACCATTGCCGCCATCTTGATGACGTTGCATCTTTACTTCGGAATAATCATAATAGCCAATCCAGTTTGTCAAGAAGTGGAGAATATCCTTGGGATAGAAAATAAATGTAAGATCTTTTAGAAATGAAACATACAGACAAAGCATTAAAAAGTATTAACAATATATTATATAATCAGGAATTAGCTGAAGATAGATTATTGCGCAATCTACAAATAACATTTTGGAGTTAATTTCTTGAACTAGATTTCAAATTAAAGCATATACCTGATAGCTGTCAAATAAGCTCTAGATTAGACAGGGAAAAACAACTGTTGTGGACAAATAAAAAAGGTGTGGTGTTTTAGTAACATTGGACCACTTTTCAATTTTCATAATTCCTAAAGATACATAATTATAATTATCGTCATAGATAAAAGAAAGAGACTTGTCGATTGAATTATTGAAAGGTTTTCAGTCTACCCATAAAAGTTATCTTTATATCTTTAACATTCATTTACTCTTTTTTTCAGTTTTCACAATTAAACGAGCTGTATGCAGAACATTTGTGATGGGCTTTGCATTGTTTGTTGCCGAGTCTGTGCCCCATTTCTCATCTATCCTTGCTTTAGTCGGCGGATCAACAATAACTTTACTTGCGTACATTTGTCCAACTATTTTCTTTTTGAAATTAGCAGCAGCAAAACCATCGAATTCAGAAAGATGGGATAAAATGTAATATTTTTTTTTTTATCATAATGTTTTGTTCTTATGCCATTTCATGCCATTGGCATTAGTAAACGCGAGTTATACTTTAATGCAGCGCGTCTCCAGATTAAGTGTTCTTAGTTTATTTGAACACAATTATTGTTTAATGAGTATGCATTGCAGAGTGTAAAAAATAGATCATTTAGCCAAGTCCAAGGTATTTATTAAATCATTCACAATAATTGTCAACAAATTGTCTTATTGTATTATAAGTGATAAAATAGCAAAGTACGTCTTATTTTGCCTAATGCATTCAAATGATCACCTAGATTGTGATGATATTTTAATTCACATATTAAACACATATTATTTATTTAAATAAGATGATCTAAAGATAACAGTGCTGAAGGCGAGCAGCTTTGAAATGTCTTTGCATCCTGCTTGACTTACATATTCTAGTACTCACGGACTATACAAAAAAACATTTACATTATAAAATATAAGTGTTTATCTCTAACATTATTGCTTTTTATCTTAAAATTAATCAAATATATATTTTGTTTAATTAAACTCAGTGGACATTGTACATTGCTTATATCATGAACCTTCTGTTCTTATTTCAGAAGTGTGCCTCTGCATGTTCGTGTGCTTTGTATAGAGATTATTGCACTTGGACTTATTGCTGGGGTGGCGGCCACATACTCGGCAATATCTGACCTGGCTGTCAGTAGGTTCTCTACCCCTTGTTACATCAACTCGCGCACAGAATCCTAGTCGTCATAGCAACTCATAATTTTATTAGTATTTTATTAGTATTGTCTGTTACAGTTTGAGATGTTTGTGTGGAGAGCTGTTTTAAAGTGAATTGGTCTGTAATAGTAGAGGCTTATATTGCATTTAAATATAGCTCGATCTGTGATAATTTAATGGAAGGTCTGTAATACAATAATTAACTATGTTGACGTGTTTAATATTAGACATAACAACAAATCATGAAAGAATAATATATGAGATACATGATCCGATATTACATATGCACATGTATTTATATGACAGTTGGTTATATGTTTGAAATTGTATCATAGAAAAGTTCATTTTAAAACATTTACAAAATTTATCAACTTTTTTTTCAAGCAACATTTTATTTAAACGATACATTATATTGTTTTTATGAATATTTGGAAAACATGTGGAAGATGTGCCCATTGTAGACCCATCCACTTTAAAGATGGAAAGTGTAAAGTTGTCGTGAAAAGGTTGCCGATCTTATTGCCTTTGAATTTAAAGTCATTATAAACATGTAAACATAAATAATTCATCATGAAGATAAGCAAAGCTAAAATAGATAAGCTAAAAGAGTAAATAAAATTTTCTCTAAGCAAAGGCTATAAGCAAAGCTAAGATAGATAAACTAAAAGTATAAATAGAATTTTCTCTAAGCAAAAGTGAAAGGTGTAAATGAAATTTCAAAGCAAAGCTTAAATAAATAAACTAAAAGTGTAAATTAACAATTTTAAGCGAGGCTAAAAAAGAATAAAAAAGTGTTAATAAAATTTTCTCTAGGAAAAAAAAGGCTAAAATAGATAAACTAAAAAGTGTCCAGTGACCATTGCCCGTTTTAGACGGAGTAGGTTGAACTCGTAACGGTTTCCCACATTATGAAGGTTCAAGGGGTGAGTTATTAGTATTCTTGTGCAACATGGGGGGAATGCCCGTCGTCATGCGCCAAACATTAAAATCTTCTTCTTCTAACACTTTTCCGGGCCGATTAACTTCAAAAATTTGGATTATAGCATCCTTGTGACAGTCACACTTAAATTTGCTCATACCATTTCAATTGGCCCCTTTTAGGGGTAAACAGAGCTAAAAATTGAAAAACCTAAAAATATCTTCTTCTACAGAACTAATTGATGGATGATCACCAAACTTTGTTTGAATCATTCTTTGGTAGTCTTTTATCAAATTTGCTCATATTAATTTGATTGTAGTTTTAGGGGCTTCTAAAACTAAAAATAGAGAAAAAAACCTTTAAACATCTTCTACTGAACTAATTCAATCAAATTTAATTGGGCCGTTTTAGGGGCCGCTAAAGCTAAAAAAAAACAAAAAAACATTTAAACATCTTCTGCTGCCCTAATTGATGGATGCTCTGTAGCTTTCTGAGATGGACTCTTATCATTTTTATTCAAAGTAATTTGATTGGTCTCTTTTAGGGGCCTCTAGAAAACCTTGAAAAATCTTCAACTACTGAACTAAATGATGCATGATCACCAAACTTTGTCTGTAGCATTCTTAGGAAGACTTTTATCAAATTTGCTCATATTGAATTGATTAGTCTCTTAACAAGATTGTATTTGTGAAAAAATAATATGCCACCGCATTAATACAAGGCTAAATAGAAGCAAAATAAAATTGATGAAAATTTAGGTATTTACTGTATAATATTATTGTATTTAACTTTGAAATACTGTTACAGTTAAATTTCTAAAATATTTTTAAAATCTTTTCAATTAAGCATTACCTATATCTTGAAAACATAAAAAAACATTTACGCTATAAAATCACCATTACATACATGGTGTGTATCATAATGTCATTATTATGTGCTAAAATCATTTGAGCCGTGTCACGACAAAACCAACATAGTGCGTTTGCGACCAGCATGGATCCAGACCAGCCTGCGCATCCGCGCAGTCTGATCAGGATCCATGCTGTTCGCTATCAGTTTCTCTAGTAGTTATAGGGTTTGTAAGCGAACAGCATGGATCCTGATCAGACTGCGCTGATGCGCAGGCTGGTCTGGAATTATGCTGGTCGCAAACCCACTATGTTGGTTTTGTCGTGACGCGGCTCATTTCATTAATATCCCTGCAAAGCTTGCTAGAGATCTTAACCTCAAACCTTGTTTATAAGTATTTCTGAAAAGCAAAATCCTCTCTTGATAAACGTCATGACCTTTAGACAAACTCGAGTTATTGAATCTGTTTTTTTTTTTAAAGAAAAAATTGCTAACTTGATTGTACAGATGTATGAAAGAGTGACATTCCATCCCTTTCACTATATAACTTTGGACTCGAAGAAATTCAAACGCCTGGGGAAGGGCCAATTTTGCAATAAATCTATAATTTGAATAATCTTAACACACTAGACAATGTTTCATGCTATTATCTAAGCTCTAGCCCTTGTAGTTTTGAAGAAATATATTTTTTCAAATTTTTACTACATGTATATACCTATGACGAAAACACATTACCCCTGGGACGGGGCCGATATTGACCCAAGGGCTGTAATTTGAACAATCTTGGTAGAGGTCCTCAATACAATGCCTTGTGCAAAATATCTAAGATCTAAGCCTTTTTGATTTATTTTTTCTGCATAGAATCAAAATGTTTTTTGGAAAACTTTTGGGCCCTTCAAAACCAAAGGGGAACAGTCCCTGCAAAGTTTGGGGTTGGAAATTTTGGACAAACATTTTTTTTTTTAAGAAAAAAGATTTTTTAAATTAAATGTTAAAAATTTTTTTGACGATCATCAAATTTTGTTGTGGATTTTTAGGTAATCTTTAAACACATTTGTCATTTTAATTTTGGGTTTGGGGTTTCCTTTTTTAAAGGGGAAATTTTAAGCAAAAAAATGGGGTAAACCCTTTTTAAAACATTTTTTTTACGGGAACAAATTTGGGAGGGGATACCCCAAAAACTTTGGGTTGAAAGCATTCGTAAAAATAGTTTTTTATCAACTAAAATTTTGTTTGGGCCCCCCCTTTAGGGCCCGTTTAAAGGTAAAAAATATAAAAAACCTTTAAACAACTACTTAACTAATTGATGGTTTAATGATTATTTAACTTACTCTATAGCATTTTAAAGGGATGTTTATCAGGTTCGCTCATATTAATTTCATTGGTCCCTTTTAGGGGCCGATAGAGCTGAAAATGGAAACAACCTAGTAGCGTGAGTTTTTCATGGCCCCCAAAATTTCCAGATGAAAAAGTAAAAAATGCACTTGGGGATTTATTTAAAGGGGTTTCCAAATTTTTTTCATGAACATAAAAACAACGGAACCCAAAAAAACAGTGGTGTCGGAAACTTTATCAAAAAGGGCAAGTTGAAGGGTTTAGTTTGGGCTTGCCCTTTAAAAGGGGGGTTTTAATTTTTTAAAAAATATTTCCCAAAAACCTTTAAAACAGTTGTTTCGGGGGGCGATTCAGGACAGTCTGGCCCCCTTTGGGTTTAAATTTTTCAAATTGGGTTTTTTTCTTAAATTTTTTTTTTGGGTCCCCGTCTCCGGGCCATTTTTTAAATTGGGTTTAATTTTTGAAATTTTTTGCTTTGGGGGGTTTCGCGGGAAGGAAAAAAACCCAATAAACAAAAAAATCAGTCCCCCAAAAAACAATTGGATAAGTGATTTTGCTACAATTAGCCATATCTTTGTTATTCATTTATGGATTTTTTATAACATGCTTTTCGGTGGTTTATAGAAATATATCAGTGATATAAAAATGGTAATTTCACTGTTTGAAACAGTGAAATTACCACTTTGATAATTTCACGGTTTTGAATTCAAGCCCCTTACGTTGTTTCATCAGTGAAATACCAGCGTGCACAGTACTGGGAAACCAACTTAATGACATGTACGGTCGTAAAATGACGTAACGTTAATGTTATTTTATTTGCGGCGCTTTTCATTCAGTATAGTAGGTTAAATGTTTTTAAAACGTTTCTTTGCATATAATAAAAAGAAAATTTGTTAAGTTTAGTGTAAGATCGAAATATAGTTCACCTTGTGAACACCAAAAATTCATATTTCACTCGTGGCTGCGCCACTCGTGAAATATACCTTTTGGTGCTCACTCGGTGAAATATTATTCCGATCTTACACTGAACTAAACAAATATCCTCTATATATTCTTTTGGCAAAGGAACACTTATAACTGAACTGGAATGTTAAATAATTCATTGTTATTATAATTACTTTAATAGACAATTAAAGTCCGTGGTTTGACAGAGATTTACAAAAATAGGTAACTTTTGTCTGTTTTTTACAGTCGCACACTATTTTTTATACACCTGTATGTATGTCCGTCATATATGTAAAGTAGACTCCTTATCAATTTTACCAGGCCGAAGTCAGGAATCAATATATGACAAAAGGGGCCATAATTAAATTTGGTTGTTTTATTACGAAAAGTTTCAAATATTGACAAGTCACAATAAAATTAATGAAAACTGGTTTGTTAAAATTATCCTCATTTTCTAGAGCTAAGTTTTCGTTTTTGTTACACTTTTTCCAAAGAAGTGTTGAATCTTATGACTATAAGAAAATTCGATTTGAAATAATGTTGCCACCTTTGTTAGAATGAAGTATTATGTACAATTGTTATATCGGTTATTCTTATTGCGTCTTTTGTAAAGAGTGATTTTCATTCAATTCTTGTATCTTTTATTGCGTGTCTTTGGTCCGTATTTCATCTTCTTTGGTCCGAGATGGAACGGTATTAAAGCTGGTCGTTTTGGAGGTGGATATCTCGAGATTTTTTTGAGATAATACTCACTCTCCTGAAAATATGAGTCAATCTATAAATAGCAGGCAATCTAAAAATAGCAGTCAATCTATAAATAGGTATTGAAATTGTGAATGAGCTAATCACATTCTTTATTTTTGTACCATGTTTTCAAGTTACATTCGGTAGTTTGTAGTTGCACATTAAATTTGACTTTTAACTTAATTTAAATTTAACGATTTCTTTCTTTTTTTTCTGAAGAAAAGTTATTTCTGTCTTTTTTTACAATGTTTACAATTGAAATTTTCTTCTTTTTTTAAAATATCCATGCTATTGATTTTGTGATACGCTTGTGATACATCATCTGTGACATAAAAAGACCGTAGTGAATGTACACAAGTAGGACACAAGTATGAAAGAACTACCTTGTGCAAATAGTATAGAAATAAGAGTATCCAAGCACATAATTAATTAAACTAAGGCGTTCCATAGATCTAGATTAAACACTAACCAGATAATCCATGAGATCCTGCTTATGGTTATAGTTCGGTTCATGTTCAGAAAGACGTTTGAGAATGGCACTGTTCTCCTTTGCCACGCGGATAAGTTCATTTTTGTGTTTTGTAGCGTTTTCACTGAAAATGTAAATGTATCGTTAGTGACATTGAAATAAATTGCGCTATATTTGATGTCGATTTTGTCATATGTGTACGATATTGCATACTTGAAGCTAAGTATATAATCTTAAAGTAAGTTATTTTTACACACATATATTGAAAGCATTATAAAGGAAAAATAGAAATATTGAACTTTCTAGCTCAATAGCTTAATCCAAAGTCCTGTGTGGTGATTGAACCTACAGGCGTGAGGGACAAGTGACTAGTGGTTTAAAGTGCTGCACGCCTTAGGAGAAGTAAACAGATTCATATTTCTAGTAATATTTACATGTTATGCACGATTAATTACCGACTTTTCAGTATTTATAACTATATTTCTACTGCATTACTAATGTAGTATAAGGGCTACTTTTGCATATTTGACCTCTTTTTGGTAACTTACATGGGTTGTAAGTGCCATTGGTAATGTGTAAATTGCATTTTTTGGTAACTTCACAGTATTATACTTTTATTTTTTTTAATTTTCATGAAAATTACCATGAATATGGAGGCGTGCTGCTTTAAAGCCAAGCAATGCAAGTATTTGTTATTCATTAAAGAAGAACGCTGAAAAAAAGTTTACCTTTGTTTGTTTGTTTGTTTCATTTTACGCCTTTTTCCAACAGTATTTCAGTCATATAGGCGGGTAGTTTCCTAACAATCGTTCCTGGAGATACCAGTACTAGACTACCTTCGCGCTAAACTACCAAAACATCTCCCGGGGATCGAACCCACGCCAGAGAGGATACTGGATTAGAAGTAATCGACTCTAACCCCTCGACCACGGAGGCGGTCTGTATGCCATTTTTGTTCAGATAGAATGTCATAACTGTCAGCAATTGTTTGTTTGTTTGATAGGGTTTTACTCACACCAACACGGTATAGGTCATATGGCGACGTTCCAGCTTTACTGGTGGAGGAAGACCTCAGGTGCCCATCCGTGCATAAGTGCACGAACGAGCACCTTTGTAGAACAACCGACGTTCCGTAAGCTTGATGGATAGCTTCCTCACATGAAAGAATCCAAGTTCCTGTCGGGATTCGAACCCACAGCGGTGAGGGGCAAGTGGTTTGAAGTCAACGACCTTAACCACTTGGCCACGGTCGCTCCTTGTCAGCCATGAATGATTGTGTGTAAGTTGGATGTCGGCCTCGTACATCGATCTTTCTGTTTAGGAAATACCTGGTCATATACCTGGTCACACGCGCTCTTGGTGTCACGTGAAATTCGTGACAAGGTATTTTATAAACAGCGAGACCTCGTACTATACATGTGCATTCAAGTGCAAATCATGGTTAATAAAGTGATTTTTTGCCACTTATGAAAATATGCCCCTCGTTTTTCCTAATGATTACATAAGGATAATATATAAATAACACATGGATTTGTGGGTAACAGTGAAAAAAACATCCCTAGGAAAATAATGTTAGCTTTTCGAAGATGATATTTTTACTGTTACTCACAAACCTATGTGATATTCATTTTATTACCCCGAACAATAACTGTGATGATATTTCATGATGATTTTACAAAATAGACCATGTGACCAGATTTTATACTGTTAAAAGTACTGTTACCATGTAACAGTACAAATGTTCTTAGTCACGTGGTACACTTGCATTAACAGTATAAATAAATCCCAGTGGTAATGCTTGCTATGACTTTGTTCAGGTGGAATGGATTAATTTTCTACAAAACAACCTTAGTTACTCACAAAACAAATATGAATTTAACCTTGCCGTATGAATGAATGACCTTGACCTTGAATGTCTATTTATAGAAAAATACTTAATTTTTGCTGTAATTGACTGTATCTTTATGATAAATGTATACATGTATAAATAAATCATCCATTTGGACAACGAATTTAAGATAAATAAAAATAAAAATAAACTTAACCTTGACCTTCATTTGACATTGACCCTCAAGGTTAAATTATTTGATTCATACTTACACAAAACGGCACTTCTGACAAAACCGATGTGTTGAATATTTCAAGTATAACCTTTACCTTGAATGACAGTGGTTGTAAATGTCAAATTTTTGAATTTTGCATAATTTTCCATAGCATTGAAAGTAATGGGTTTAATTATTCAAACAATACTTATGCATATGGACATGAAAATACCTTTCAATAAGTGTCAGGAACAAATGATTGTATTTTGGTTATTTTATTAGTATTATATTTTTCCTGCATCGATTCACACATTTTTATAAAACAAGAGTTTTGACAAGTAAAATAATTCAAGAATGACCTTGGTCTTTAAATGGCCTTGACCTTTCATATCGAAATATTGAATTTTCACATGATTGGCCAAAAATCAACATTGATCTAATAATTCTTAATCATTATGACTGAAAACTGTTCACAAAAATGTGCTTCTTCCGATGTGTTTATCTTTGGAAATTGGGAAAAAATCGGACATTGCCTCTCCTATGGGTAACCGCCTCCGTAGTCGAGGGGTTAGAGTCGATGACTTCTAATCCAGTTACCTCCCCGGGAGATGCTTTGGTAGTTTATTACGGAGGCAGGTAGTCAAGTACTGGTGTAACTCTCCAGGAACGATTGTTAGGAAACTACCCGCCTATATGACTGAAATACTGTTGGGAAAAGGCGTAAAATGAAACAAACAAACAAACAAGTTTCTCCTATGGAGCTTATTCAAATGAAGTCCCTTTCCTTGGGCCATACTGTTTAACATTTAACAAATACAACGTATAACATAAAGAAATGCGCGACGAATATAATATGAGCCGCGCCATGACAAAACCAACATAATGGGTTTGCGACCAGCATGGATCCAGACCACATGGATCCTGATCAGACTGCACTGCACGGATGTGCAGGCTGGTCTGGATCCATGCTGGTCGCAAACGCACTATGTTGGTTTTGTCATGACGCGGCTCATATAATTAAACACCTTCTTGGTCCTTTGACGAGCATGTTGCGTTGATCAAATTTTATTTTTTAACAACAGTTTTATGTGTAATTTACCTTTTTCTGTAGCGTAGCGAGGTATTTATGTGATCTATCCGTCCACGTGTACGCATTATATGGTACATCTTTCTATACAACTCTTGATTGTCTCGGATGATAACTTTCTCCCTCTCTGTCTCATACTTTAATCGCATATAAAACAAACGAAATAAATGATCAAAGCTGCACATCTCCAGATAAGCCATAATATTTTAAGAAAATCAGTATTGAGAAAAATGAAGTAAAATTTTCAGAAAGGTGAAATATAATTCAAGATCCGAGTTATATAAGTTTTCTTGAAATCTTGACAATAAATACTGATGAAGAAAAAATAGAAATCAACATGAAAAAAATTTTAATTGATTATTTCAAAACATTAGACAAACATAAAAGAGTAAAGTTCTATGTACAGAATATTCATTTGAAAATATTAAAGTCTTTATTTAAAACAAAGGTTATCTAAACAACTTGTCATTCAAGTAGTTCTGGGTCACTCAAAACATATAGTTCCTTACACACAAATGCTGATTTTTTAAAACTTATATCAACTTATTTTGTTGTCTATGGAAACATTAGGAACGTATCATTTTGTTTTTATTGATTAACAAAACAGAAGTTAAATGATGTGATTCGGATTACCTTAGATTCGGATTGCCTACACATACTGTATATAAGCTGAATTCTTATATTTTGATATATGAGCCGCGCCATGACAAAACCAACATAGTGCGTTTGCGACCCAAACTCCTCACAGTGATTACCTCCCTTGGCAGAATTGTAATCGCTAGTCACATGACGTAACGTCGAAATTCAAATGAAAATATCGACTGTTACTTAGAAAATCTAACGTCATTTTTCTCCTTCTGTTTTATTTTTAACTTTTAGTGCCTACGTTCGCTATAGTTTATTAAAAAATTATCAAAAGTATACAAAATAACGAAAAATAAATTCAAAAGCTAAAAAATATAAAATATCAAAATATTGTCTCGGTAGAAAATATTCTCATAATTTTTAAAATTATTTCTAAATATTCATATTATTTATTTATTTATTCATAAACATTGTTAAATAAATGAGAAAAAAACTTATCTGGCAGATAAAAGCAGTAGATAAAACAATTTTTGAAAAAAATATAGTATATCAGAAATTCTGATATATCGGACCATTAAGGGGAGATCACTGCGTGGAGATTGTTTGCGACCAGCATGGATCCAGACCAGTCTCCGCATCCGCGCAGTCTGAGCAGGATCCATGCTGTGCGCTTACAAACCCTAAAACAAGTAGAGAAACTGATAGCGAACAGCATGGATCCTGATCAGACTGCGCGGATGTGAAGGCTGGTCTGGATCCATGCTGGTCGCAAACACACTACGTTGGTTTTGTCATGGCGCAGCTCATATATTGAAATTCACCTGACGTTTGAATGAGTCTCTTTCAATTTTAAATCTAGGAGAATTTACGAAAGTCATCATATCAAATGTTAGGGCCTAACACATTATTTTGTTCAAACTGCCTATACCGGTATATGCAAATATTTCGTTTCGTTTCGTTCAAAGCCTTGATAATGGTCGTGTTTTGGCACGCCGGTATTTTTTATTTTATTTTTTATTCACTTCAGAGAAAATTGCATTTATATTTTCAACCATATTAGACCTGACTGTGAATTACTAGTCATACTTGCAAATTAATTCTAAAACCGGAAGCACTTTTGTTTGAAATAATAGATATGATTTTTTTATGTATACCCTACAATTTTGCCCTAACTATTGCGGAGAGAAAATTATATGATGCCTTAAAAATTGTTATGATCTTATGTGATGTGAAATTGAATTACTTCTTATATATTTCATTAAAGAAATATCTAACCTCATGTTTTTTCAGTTTGATATACACGTGGTGGTTAACTATCGGAGCCCTGTTGTCAATCACAGCCTTCGCTAAAACAAATCAAAAATATGTTTGCCATGATAACTGTGATATATGGGACGATTATAATATGAGCCGCGTCACATAATGGGTTTGCGACCAGCATGGATCCAAACCAGCCTGCGCATCCGCGAAGTCTGATTAGGATCCATGTTGTTCGCTATCAGTTTCACTACTTGTTATAGGTTTTGTAAGCGAACAACATGGATCCTGATCAGACTGCGCGGATGCGCAGGCTTGTCTTGATACATGCTGGTCGCAAACGCATTATGTTGGTTTTGTCGTGACGCGGCTCATATATGTTCAGCATCTATGCTATCTATGTCTTGGGTCCAGATAAAAATAAAGGCGAACATTACTTGTTTTTTTAGAGAAAATGCAGCAGATTTTTGCATTATTTCAGTTCCATACAGTTCCAAAATGAAATAATGTTCGGATAATGCATTAGATATTTCAAAATGTTTGTTTTACGTTAGTCGTTTTAAAGACACATAACGGTTCAGAAATGCCGTTATTTTTCATTTCTCAATAGCTCTTTATTTTTGATGTACTTTAATATATATAGTTTCCAGAAAAAATAGTCATTGACCAAATATCTGAACATTTTTCCATCTGTTGATTTTTAGAAATAGGAACAGTTATAGTGATTTAGTATTTTGTATACTACATGTACTTTGTTAACATAACATTTTGCTATTTTAATGCGTAAAATCAAAGAAAACATTTGCATACCTAATTGTGTTAAGATTAGTGTATAATAATTAAGATGGTTATGTATCAGAACACATAGATTTCAGAAGCACTCCAAGCGAACTCTGAATTTATATGGCATAATACGCGAATATAAATAATTTACATATTAAAGGAAGAAAAAGAAGTATATACCTGCACGAATTTTCTTCATGTTGCTTTCAAAGACGACTTTGTCCCATCTTTGTTTCAGAAGAAGACAGGTTACAGGCGAGTATGGTCTATATCTCCTGTGCATGCTCGTCTGTATCCCCGGTGCTATTTCACACCGAATAAATCTGTTTTACAGTTGCTTTTCAAAATAAATATTAACAAAGATATTCAATAGAAATAAATAAAAGTAGATTTAACGAAAGGAAAATAAAGTAAACACAGTCACAGGCTGACGTCCAACTTTGACGTCAGCCGGAAATCATTGTCGTGCTATAGTTTCGCGGAATAACAACATTGTTGTCATTTGTTTATACTTTTATTTCTATATACTTTATAAACCATATATTTTCCATATCAGATTATTTAGGCTCCTATTTACGTATAAATTTATTTATTTATTTACTTATTAATTGTTATCACGTCACATATTTTATAAGTCAGCTACAATTGCTTAATTGTGTTATCAATGTTATATACTGTACATTATTTAATTTTACCCATGAAATATGGTGCTATATCAGTCAAATATATTTCATATGTTTTAAAAATAAATGTGAAATATAAATACGAAAGTGGGCGGAGTCAAAACTCATATTTATTTTAAGGGACTTCTTTTGCCATTTTGTTTGAAAAATCTGATAAATACAAAACAAATTTTTGTTGAATTTTGTTTTGAAAACTATCTAGAATGATAGAAAATAGTCTAACTAAGAAAATAAGACGAACACCGATATCTTTAAACCAGTCATTAACGCAATACAAGACAATAATTATATTACTGCGTGCTGTACAATTGCAGTTGCGTAGCAAGTATAAGGGGTTCGTAATTCTTTATTGCAGTTGCGTAGCAAGCAAGGGGTTCGTAACCATTTTTCTTTGATAATGAAATTAAATAAAAAGGTTATTTTTTTCGTATTTCGTGAAATATGGTATATATTTTCACGAGACATTACCCAGGATATTGTTTTGCTAAAGGTCGAGTGTGGTATATACTATATAGCAAGTATTTTTGCATTTCCCCCCTGAGAAAACATGAATCCCATTTTAATTTTGGCATATTTTCAACAAGTATCATTTCTTCACCACATTTCACTTGCTTGTTCCGACATTCCTTTAGACATAAAGTGTTATACTACGTATACCCAAATCATAAAATCAGTTTAACTCAACCCGAGACTTTTATCATAGATACAGACGCTTTCTGGGCAAGATAAAAAGAAATGTAACAACATAAGGCAGCTATGGCGTTCCATAGATACAGCTGTTGTTGATATCATTTTATATCAGAACATGTACAGCGAATGGTCGCACTGAGAATTATGAATAATAGAAAATTACAAGTTTAATCTTAATACTGTTATTTTTATGAGGTTATTATATACATTGTTAATTAAATAAAAGAGTGAAGTTCACAACTGAACGAAGCTTTAAATATGTTTGCAGGTGTACCGAGGTGTTCGGCGCGTTGATTAGATATTTCACCAAAAAGGAAAGAAAAATGAGCCGCGTCACAATAAAACCAACAAAAATGCGTTTGCGACCAGCATGGACCCAGACCAGCCTGCGCATCCGCGCAGGCTGGTCTGGATCCATGCTGGTCGCAAACCCATAATGTTGGTTTTGTCGTGACGTGGCTCAAATAATGTTGGCCACACACATTATTATAGCATATACGTCTCTCGCCCAATGTTTCACTTTAATAATAATAGATAGAGGATATTTGTTTGTTTTGCATGTAAGATTGAAATATAATTTCACTGAGTGAACACCAGATGCAATATTTTCACGAGTGGCGTAGCCACGAGTGAAAATATAATAGCTGGTGTTCACGAATGAAATATATTTCAATCTTATATGTAAAACAAATAAATTTTCTTTTTATTTTATGCTTTTTAAGTGATTTTAAGCTATTTTTTTACTGATTTTGCCGCGTAACGTCTCGCATCTCCTTTGTGACGTCATAATATCATGACGTCACATCATCAGTTTTGAAATCTAGTTCCGTTAAATTTCTCTAATTTTGTTAAATTTCTAACATGATGTATGATGACATGGACTTTCTTTTCCTAAAGAAGCAAAATTTACGTATGACGGCATTTATTTCTGCCTGTTATTCCATCTAGTTATGATTATCTGTTCATCCGCATTCAGATATAGTCCGGCTACAGTGAAAATTATATTTTATAAATTTCACTAGTGGTTTATCAGAATATAATCATCTGATATATTACAATAAAACACTGGAAAGCATGAAATAAATAGAGGATATTTGTTTGTTTTGCATGTAAGATTGAAATATAATTTCACTGAGTGAACACCAGATGCAATATTTTCACGAGTGGCGTAGCCACGAGTGAAAATATAATAGCTGGTGTTCACGAATGAAATATATTTCAATCTTATATGTAAAACAAATAAATTTTCTTTTTATTTTATGCTTTTTAAGTGATTTTAAGCTATTTTTTTACTGATTTTGCCGCGTAACGTCTCGCATCTCCTTTGTGACGTCATAATATCATGACGTCACATCATCAGTTTTGAAATCTAGTTCCGTTAAATTTCTCTAATTTTGTTAAATTTCTAACATGATGTATGATGACATGGACTTTCTTTTCCTAAAGAAGCAAAATTTACGTATGACGGCATTTATTTCTGCCTGTTATTCCATCTAGTTATGATTATCTGTTCATCCGCATTCAGATATAGTCCGGCTACAGTGAAAATTATATTTTATAAATTTCACTAGTGGTTTATCAGAATATAATCATCTGATATATTACAATAAAACACTGGAAAGCATGAAATAATAATAAATATTTATGATAATCGATTTGGAAAAAAACAACAACAAAAGCACGCAGGACAGAACTGTCTCGCCAAGAAAATGTCAGATCGCATTCTTATTGCGTAATTGATCTTGAAATTGTTGACTTTTTGAAGCAAAGTAGTGATTAACAATATAGTTTATAAGTAAAATGTCATGTGTGTCATGTCAGGTTTTGAATTGTGCCCTGTGTGAGTAGCTTCCTGTGTGACAGTGTGAGTAGTTTTCTGTGTGTAAATAGTGTCATGTGTGTCAGTAATTGAGAAGTGTCCTGTGTATTCAATTAGTGTTTAAGTAATGCCATGTGTTTAAGTACTGTCATGCGTGTCAGTGTAGTACTGTGTTTCAGTAGTGTCCTGTGTTTCAGTGTTGTCCTGTGTTTCAGTGTTGTTTCAGTGTAGTCCTGTGTTTCAGTGTAGTCCTGTGTTTCAATGTAGTCCTGTGTTTCAGTGTAGTCCTGTGTTTCAGTGTAGTCCTGTGTTTCAGTGTAGTCCTGTGTTTCAGTAGTGTTCTGTGTTTCAGTAATGTCAGTTGTGTCTTGTGTGTCAGTGTAGTCCTGTGCTACAGAAGTGGTCTGTGTGTCAGTGTAGTTCTTTGTTTCAATCGTATCCCTAGTGTCAGTAGTATCCTGTGTGTCAGTGTAGTCCTCTGTGTCAGTGTTGTCCTGTGTTTCAGTAGTATCCTGTGTGTCAGTGTAGTCCTGTGTGTCAGTGTAGTCCTCTGTGTCAGTGTAGTCCTGTGTGTCAGTAGTGTCCTGTGTGTCAGTGTAGTCCTGTGTTTCAGTAGCATCCTGTGTGTCAGTGTTGTCCTCTGTGTCAGTGTAGTCCTGTGTTTCAGTAGTATCCTGTGTGTCAGTGTTGTACTCTGTGTCAGTGTTGTCCTGTGTTTCAGTAGTATCCTGTGTGTCAGTGTACTCCTCTGTGTCAGTGTTGTCCTGTGTCAGTGTTGTCCCGTGTTTCGGTGTAGTGTCCTGTGTGAGTGTTGTCCTGTGTTTCAGTGTAGTCCTGTGTTTCAGTGTAGTCCTGTGTGTTAGTACGTGTAGTCCTGTGTGTCAGTGTTGTCCTGTGTTACAGTAGTGTCCTGTGTGTCAGTGTTGTCCTGTGTTTCAGTGTAGTGTCCTGTGTGTCAGTGTCGTCCTGTGTTACAGTGTAGTGTCCTGTGTGTCAGTGTAGTGTTGTCCTGTGTTTCAGTGTAGTGTCCTGTGTGTCAGTGTTGTCATGTGTTTCAGTGTAGTGTCCTGTGTGTCAGTGTTGTCCTGTGTTTCAGTGTAGTGTCCTGTGTGTCAATGTTGTCCTGTGTTTCAGTGTAGTGTCATGTGTGTCAGTTAGTTAGTATTTTAGTGAAGTAGAAAGATTGTAAGTATTTTAGTGGAGTAGCGGGGGATCGAACTCGCAACCCCTAGATTTGTAGTCAGACAGTGTTACCACTGCATCATAGCGCCCGCTCTGATTTATAACTATTTTAGAAATCCCTTTATACATTATCACGTAAGTAAACTTGAAATTGAGTAATGCAATTTAATTTTCACACCTAAATAGTTAATATAGCTGTTAGGTCTAAAGTGTTTCACAATGGCTGACATTCGTGTCCTTGCTCGATATTATGTTATGATAAAGGAATTTACACATAAGTAAATAAGTAAGACTGTTGAGGGGCAATAAAAAAACATACAAGAAAAAGAAACATGTTTCGTTAAATAGAATCGCAGTTCTAATATTGACAATAAGTAAGCTGATAACAATACTTGTTGTTGATGATAAATGATGGTTTGAGACAAGTCTTTTTAATCTAATTTTCACATGTTAAAGATAATACTATGGGTGGAAATTAGGTGAAAAAAGTATGTTAAAGCAGCAAACCTCCAGCGTCATGCTATTTTTTTATGAAAATTTTAAAAATTTAATGGTAAATAAGGGTAAAATATTTTCGAGTGAACAAAGAAAGTAATTTACATATTGCAAAGAACACTTTCAATCTACATAAATTATCAAATAAATTTCAAAATATGCAAAAAAAAAGTAACAAAACAGATATATGATTAGATGAATTCTACCAAATGGTATCACCACGCACTCTACGTCGACCAAGGCACACAGTTGGTTATTCGGGGGAATCCACAACTACCTACCAAAAAGGTTGGTAATTCGAACTTTACTTGTTTACCCATAAAAACAGAAAGTATTTTTTCAGAATAAATATATATGACGGGTATATAGCAAGAAAGATGTACATTTCAACATTGAAACACCCTGTCTCCCTATGTCCTTCAGGGGACTCCGTTGGGTTTTCGCCTGTATACAAAACTACCTACTGGAAGGTAGTTGGTAATTCGGATATTGCACATATTCCTCCGAAAACAAAGTATTTTTTCTGAAACAATTGTTGCCGTTATATAACTAAATATGTGCTTTATATAATATGGTAACACCCCCCCCTCCCGGCCCCTTTCACTATTAATCGACCAGGGAACTCAGTTGGTTATTAGCGTGAATCCCAAACTAACAACCAGAAGGTAGTTGGTTATTCGAACTTCTGGTAGGTAGTCTCTAAAAAAGAAAAACATTACACAAAAAAGTAACATATAGGAGCCGCGTCACGACAAAACCAACATAATCGGTTTGCGACCAGCATCCGCGCAGTCTGATCAGGATCCATGCTGTTCGCTATCAGTTTCTCTACTTGTTATAGGGTTTTTAAGGCTTTTAAACCTTAGTTGAGAGCCTTTAACAACATTACGGTTAGCGGATATAAAATAAATTCTGTATAGTCATAGGTCATCAGTTTTAAAAAAATCATATTTTATAAAGTTCTTGAAGAAGATTAATGCGTTCTGAATTATTTCCCTTTTTGTATACTGTTACAGTTTCCAAACCTTTACTTACTTTGTCGTATTCACGAACCATACTTCCCTTCTTTTGTAATATGTATACTTCTCTTGCAATTTGTATACTATTACAGTTTCCAAACCTTTACTTACTTTGTCGTATTCACGAACCATACTTCCCTTCTTTTGTAATATGGATTAAAAGTTTGTATGGAAGTCAAAATACCACTCTGTTTGTATATGACTAGTTTTATGACATATTACTTCACATTCATTAGTGAATATCGTCTATCATACTCTAAATTCATTATCAAAATGTTATAAAACATGTTTGCCCTTTCTGAAGAAGATGAAATGTGTCAATTTCTGATGGTTAATAGTGTGTCGTTAAAGCTGCACGCCTCCAGATGAGCCCCTGGAAATACCAAATATAAAAATTTAATAAATGAATCACAGTTTTAAATGTTAGCAGGCTGTTAAAATATTATTACATATTTATTAAAGCAACTTTCAGTGAGTATATATAAATGTTTTTGCATTTGTCAGAGGAACATGACAGTTCTCCTAAAATGTGCTTGAGAATTGTGAAAATAAAAATATTTTGTCTTTTATTGAGGATTTGTTATAGTATTTGTCAGTAACAGAAAATTGATAAAAATAAAAGTAAATTATTGTAAAAGAAACCATACAGTTATTGTGATTCCAAATTAACGTTTTATCAGACAAGATTCAATTTCAAATTTTGGAAAAAATCATACAACATACTAACAACGAGTCGATGTAGTGAATTACCAATTTGGAAAATCTATTTTATCAACGTTGCGAAACCTTTGGAAACTTTTACTTTTACATTAATTTAGCTGGTTAGAATTTGTGTTAGCAATAAATAATTTTATTACTTTAATCAGTTAAACAAGGATTAATGCATTCAGACTAAACAATTTATAAATAAGAAGCGTGTACGTAGTCCGGCAAAACAAAATTTAAACAAATATTGCACAGCCCAAAAAATAGAAAGAAAATAAAACCAAGACGTGTACAGTCTGGCAAAAGAAACAGAAAACAAGTCGTCAGTGGTCAGCTAAAAGAAACTGAAAACAATGCGTGCATAGTCTGACCAAAGATATTGAAAATAAGACGTGTACAGTCTGACAAAAGAAACTAAACACAAGACATGTGTAGTCTGGCAAAAGAAACTAAAAATAAGACGTGTGTATTCTAATAAAAGAAACTGAAAACAAAACGTGTGCAGTCTAGCAAACGAAACTGCAAACAAGAAGAATGAAGTCTGACAAAATAAGATGAAAACATTCCGTGTGTAGTCTGACAAAAGAAACTGAAAGCAAGACCCGTGTAATCTGACAAAAGAAAATAAACTAACACCAACACTTGAGCAGTCTGATAAAAGAAACTGAAAACAAGACGAATGAAGTCTGACAAAAGAACCGACAACAAGACAAGTGCAGTCTGGCAAAAGAAACTGAAAACAAGACGTGTGCAGTCTGGCAAAAGAAACTGAAAACAAGACGTGTGCAGTCAGGCAAAAGAAACTGAAAACAAGACGTGTGCAGTCTGGCAAAAGAAACTGAAAACAAGACGTGTGCAGTCTGGCAAAAGAAACTGAAAACAAGACGTGTGCAGTCTAAACTGAAAACAAGACGTGGGTAGTCTGAAAAAAGATACTAAAAACAAGACGTGTGTAGTCTAGTAAAAGAAACTGAAAACAAAACGAATGAAGTCTTACAAAAAAAAAACTGACAATACGACGTATGCAGTCTGACGGCAAAAAAAACTAAAAACAAGACGTGTGTATTCTAAAAACAAGAAGTGTGTAGTCTAACAAAAGAACCTGAAAACAAGACGTGTGTTATCTGTAAAAAGAAACTGACAACAAGACGTGTGTAATCTGGCAAAAGAAACTGAAAACAAGACGTGTGTAGTCTGGCAAATGAAACTAAAAACAAGACGTGTGTAGTTTGACAAAAGAAACAAGTAACATCAAGTTTTAAGTCTCACTTTTCAAAAAGAAGGATGTTATTCTATATCTTCAGTTACCATATTAACAAGATTGGTACAAGCTCACAAAATTTGTTCCAAATTTAAACTTGTAGACAACGTAAACAAAAGAGCAAAGTTGATTTTACGAGCTGAAAAAATACCAACTTTTTATAGTAATTATATTGATTTGATAAGAGAGACAACGAGTTATAATGTAAAAGAAAAAAAATTGTTATGACAAACAATTTTCATACCAAATCATTTAAATCTATTATTTTACCTTTTTTCATATTAAACAGACCAATCTAGACGAATACATAGCATGATATGTATTTGTACTTGCGGTTACTTCATAGGCTTTATAGACCTACATTCATTTGCAAAACAATATTTTCATTCCATTTCCCAATATTTTTTTAAAATACTATCTGATAATACTTCCTACAAATGAAAAACAGTATACATGTACTGATATTTTTTATTTGAAATTTTGCAAAAATATGCAAAGATTTCAATGTTAAAAAATGTTTTCAGTTGAAATATCTCCCCATGGTATGAAGCTTAACCTTTTTTACTATTAAATGGCATTTTTGACTCCAGTAAATGAATACGTTTTTGATCTAATATAAAGGTCTGACGAATAATCTGCTATTCAGACCTTATATAGAGAAATTATTTAAACATCGGAATATATATTCATTTTATTAATAGTGTTGTACTAAAATTTATAAAATGAACATTTCAAACATGGGAGATGATGATGATTTATATCTAGCAGACCCGGATGATAGAGATTTATTTTTTGAAAACATAAAGAAGGTGAGGTTCTTTATTGAAATATGTGTATTTGCTGTAGGACTTTTTGGAAATTTAATCTCTCTAACTGTTTGGATCAAAGGACAAAATACAAGAAAGCTAGCATGTTCAATGTACTTTATATTTTTATCAGCATCTGACAGTTTTTGTATGCTATATAAATTAACTGAACATGTGGTCTATAATCCATGGATGGATAATCACTTACTCAAACATTTTCCTTTTTGGGACAAAGTACTTTTTTATCTTTTTCAGCATCACCAGCCTTTTTAAATGCAATTATTTAGAAATTCGACAAAATTTTAAAAACCCCTTTAGCTCTCAAAACCCGGATCATTGTTTTTTTAAACTGGGGCGGGAAAAAAACGTTGAGTATTTGTTTTTTCCCTTAAAAATTCCCAAAACAAAAGGGGGTGGCAAAAAAGGCGAAATTTGCCCCTTTTTTTCACTTTTCATTTTTTCTTGCTGGGGAAAGAACCTGCTGATTCATCTTTTTTTATGTAGCTTTTTTACTTTAACTCAAGGGGATACAATTTGACAATCTCTGAAATTTTTGTCCTTTGTTGGGATTTTTTTTAAAATTTTGGGGTTTTTTTAAAAAAATAAAAGGGGGGAAAAAGTTTTTTTTATATCATATTTCTTTCTAGGAAATCACCTATTGTAAGCAGTAGCAGAAGACGTTTGACAAAATTCACGCGCTTAAGTATAGTTACAGGATGTTTCCACTGTGTTTGTGTTATCCCATTTATGGTTCTCTCGCTATTAAGCACTGGCTATATTTACCTCAACCTTGGGTTAAGAAGTGCTTTAATCTTTGTCGCTGTATCGGACTTTCTTCTCTTCTTAAATAACGCTTTTAGTTTCTTACTCTACTCACTAGCATCCAAAGATTTCAAGCAAGACTTAAAGCAACTGCTTTGTAGCTGCAGGAATCGTGAATAATAACAAAAAAATCATTAGACAATATGTGAAGAGAAATGAGCCGTGTCACGACAAAACCAACATAATGGGTTTGCGACCAGCATGGATCCAGACCAGCCTGCGCATCCGCGCAGTCTGATCAGGATCCATGCTGTTCGCTATCAGTTTCTCTTCTTGCTATAGGGTTTGTAAGCGAACAGCATGGATCCTGATCAGACTGCGCGGGCTGGTCTGGATCCATGCTGGTCGCAAACGCACTATGTTGGTTTTGTCATGACACGGCTCAAATATTAAAAGTAGACAAATATATTGTTGGCAAACCAAAGGACCCTTCAACTTGAAGATTATGACACAATTTATGTCGAGGGAATTGTTAAAGTTGGTTGTATATAACGGTATATTATATAAACTTGTTTCTATTTATCAGCATATTATGAAAACCTGGTTGTATTTACATGTATATTATATAAACTTGGTTTTATATACTGGTATATTTTATAGACTTGGTTGCATATACCGGAATATTATATAAACTTTGTTGTAAATACTGGTATAACATATAAACTTAGCTGTATGTAGCGGCAATTATATAAATTGGTGTTATATACCCGTATATTATATAAACTTCGTTGTATATACCGGTTTATTATATACAGAGTGGAAAACTACAGTTTTGTAATGTCTACGTGTCCGATCGAAACAGCGTGAGTCCATGTGTTTTTTTTTATTTCATATTTTTCATTTTATTGAAGCTATCTGACTTTCTTAAAAGTTGGACAGACTAAGAGCTATGTCAAATGTTGAGAATTGTCATTATGTGATATTGTGGATGGTGTTAGAATACTGGAACCACCCAAGTTGAAAAGGCCAAATAGAAGAAACAAAAATAAAAATACCACATAACATGTATACACAACAGTAATGTCGTGCTGAACGATCTTCAAGGATCGAAAATATAACATCATTGATTAAATGTACGGGGAGACTTTTACATCCGCTAATTTTT